TGGTTTCTTCATCTTCTCTGATAAGAATAACTGTTGCTTCACGCTGAGGAGGAGGAGGATGATGATGATGACGACGATAATGATGACGACGATAATGATGACGACGATAATGATGATGATAATGATGATGATGATGATGATAATGATGATGATGATGATACAAACTGGCCCACTCGGGTAATAATAATAACAACCTTAATAACAACAATAATAGTAGTAACAATAACAACAAAACAACAATAATAATACCAACACTAATAATAACAATAACAAATGCTCACGTCTATGTTGAAAAAAAAAAAAAACCCTCAACACCGACCCCTGATCACCTATCGACAGTATATGCCCAGGTATTTGACATTTTCTCATCTAATAATATTACAGTCGCCTCAGGTTGATGATCACAGCTATAAGTGTCTACCATTACGTACAGGTGGATCACGTAATGGTGGCGTCGTGTGGTGGTGAAGCTGTATAGGTCAGGAGATAGTAGTGTGTGTGTCAGTAAGAGACTGGTGTATAATATAACCCGTATGAAGAAGGGTTTATTGAACTCTCTTTGAACTAATATGTATTCCTTGTGCATCCAGGAACATCAGATCGTGGCGAGACACACACACACACAGAGCACCGTACTCCCACCCTAATGACCCCCTAGCCATGACCTACCTAGTGGCAGCTCGTCTCTATGCAGTACTTCCTGACAGTGCCGCTTGGTTAGTCAGAAGAGTACTGTATCGTCTTCATATCTGAGGGATGGCGACCACAGTCCTCCACTCTAAACGTTCTCGGGCTGTTTTTTATTTCATTCATCCATCCCAGCATCTGCCTTCCCCTGGCCCTCCTACCCTTAACTTTGCTCATTAATACATCAGTTATTATCTTCCTCGTCCCTAATTATATAATCAAAGTGTCTTAATTTTTTTGTGTATTTAAAGTATTTCTCCAGAAGTTTTTGTTAATCTTGGTAGAGTAATTAATTTGGAGTATCTTATGCGCATAGTGATAGTAGATTCAGGACCTGTTGTTCTTTGTCATGAGTGTCAGCCACCTGTTGTCATGCGTGTCAGCCACCTGTTGTCATGCGTGTCAGCCACCTATTGTTGTATGTCATGAGTGTCAGCCACCTATTGTTGTTTGTTATGCGTGTCAGCCAACTGTTGTTGTGTCATAAGTGTCAGCCACCTGTTGTTTACTTCATGCTTCCTTCACTGTCTTACATTAGATTTTTCCAAGTTATTTATGATGCAATTTACTGAAGTAGAGAGAGAGAGAGAGAGAGAGAGAGAGAGGAGCATCGTGAATTTAACGGGTTTATTCATATCAACAAACGTTTCCATCGAACTCACGAGGTTTACTACGAACGCCAGCAAGATCACCTCCAAAACGTTACAATCACAGCAACAACAACAACAACAACTACAACAATAATAATAATAATAATAATAATAATAATAATAATACGGTAACAATAACAATAATAAATCTGCTGCCGGCGCCGTTAAAGCCGTGTGTATGTCTGCTTGTAACTTGATAAAACAAAACACAAATCATCCGTTACGTCAGCAGACCGTGAGCTCTGTTGCTGGCACAAGCTGTGACGCACATGACTCGTGACAGTGAAAATGGTCATGGGTGTGTAACAATGTGAAAGTCATGTATGTATGTGTATGTATGTATGTATGTATGATTGTTGTGATTACTGTCATGGATGGTGAGGGTTCATACATAGTGCGATGTTGTCACTTGGTGTGGTTGTCATTTTTGTGGTTGACTTGTGTGGTACAGCTGTCATGTATGGTACAACTGTCACGTGGTACAGCTGTCATGTATGGTACCATTGTCGTATGTTTGTGCAGCTGTCATGTGTATTTCAGCTTACATATGTGACCGTCATGTGTGGTTCAAGTTACATATTTGGCTGTCATGCGTGGTGTGCTTGTCATGGATGGTATGACTGTCACCTGTGGTATGACTGTCATGTGTGGTGTGAGTGAGAGAATATTGGAGGCCACCACTGTTCTGGATGACAGCTGTAGCACGTCCAAATGGTGAGCACTGATGGGTGTGTTGTAACCATACACATGCCCTCTCTCTCTCTCTCTCTCCTCTCTTATTTCTCTTTGTGCAGAAACCTCAAACTAGACAAGAAATTCGAGAAAGAAGTTCAATAACAGATAAAAAAAGGGCAAGACAAAGACTAGATAACGCAACAAAAACAAAAGGATAACGCAACAGGAAAAGCTCGCTCACACACACACACACACACACACACACACACACACTCATGCCTTCAACCAGCATACATAACACAAAAGAGAAACTCGATTCCCCAGGCTACCATAACACCACCAAACCCCTACCGGCTACAACACGTACTAACATCCCTAACTTAATCTTTCTTCTCACGTTCTTTAAATTGGTACATAGTTACTTCTCTTGGTTTCCCTAATTCATAAGCTGGTGGTCTCTCTCTATCTCTCGCTTTCTTTTTTTTTTCTTATTCTCTCTCTCTCTTATTTTCTCGACCTTCAAAATCCATAACATTAATCTACCTATTCGCCTATTCTGAAAACTAGCCACCCCTCCTAGTTAATTTCGCCTGATGATTATATACCCTAACTCTACCTGTGAGGGGGTGAGGGAGGGTTAGGTTAGCGCTCCGTTAAATTTGTGGAGGATAGATTAGCGTTAAGTTTCAGTAGCGTTAGGTTAAGTTTGGTTAGGTTAGGTTAGACTGGTTAATTCTCTAAGTGAAATAACCTGGGAGGGTGAAGAGGGGCTAATCTTTAGGTGATTCGTCCAGTTTATTAATACAATCACGAACTTCTTTGTTTATTGTTATGTTGATAATTTCCATTTTCTTGTTGACGTCTTTGTTTATCTGTGTTCATTATTGTTCCTTAAATATATTAATTATTCTTCGTTAGTACTGTTTATATAAGAGAATAAAGGAAGTTGAGAGAGAGAGAGAGAGAGAGAGAGAGAGTTCAGTATCACTCTGGGTGGACTAGCGATTAACACTAATCGTATCAGTACTGTGATGACCGGCCCTGGTAGAGCCTGTATGCGCGCGCAGACACACACACACACACTGGCAGCATGGAAGTGTGTGTGTGTGTGTGTGTCATGAGGAGATTGTTGTCACGGGAAGTATACACAGACAAACAAAACGTTGACTGACAGCCTAATGTCATGACTATTTTCATTATCTTGGGAGGCTTAAATTTCCGGTACATCAAATGGCCGTTGTTGTTGTATTTACCAAATACACCTTTTTAGGTCACTGTATGCTAGGTGTTGGCATGTGGGTCAGGGTGGTGTTAACTGTTGGCACGATGGATGAGGGTGCCGTGTGGGGGCAGTAGACCCAGATCTTGGCATTGGCACCAAGGTCACCACCTAGGTTTGTTGTGTAGCGTGACAAGGAGAGAGAGCGGGTTAGCGTTAAGTAAGCGTCAGATTAGATTGGATTAGCGTTAGAGGGGGTTACTATTCAGGTTAAATACGTCGGGGTGGTTAATCTTCAGGTAATCCCTCCCCTATCCACCTTTTTACGATCTGATGTTGGGTAAATTAGGTCTGATTAGCTTTAGATTAGGTTAGGTTATGTTAAGTTAGTGCTATGTTGTTATGCTGTTTTTACTTATACTGTATGTTGTTATCTTCTGTTGTTATTAATGTTGTTATGTTATGTTGGCGAGTAGAAGAGAGCAGAGACAGGAATTTTGTTACACACGCAAAGAAAATCTTGCTAAATTTGTCTCATTGAGTGCCTAGTCAGTCGGCAGTGAGGAGGAGGACAAAGAGAAAGACAGAGGAGGAGAGAGATAGAGAGACGTAAGAAGAGGCAGGAAGAGGAGAGGATGTTGTGTAGCGTCTTGGCACCACAGTACCTCGGGCCACCAACCATCTCAGACGTGTTCTACATTGAGCTCTTGGCCTTTATTGGTTAATGTGAAAACTGACTGCCTCTTGGTAGTGGTGATGGTAACACTTGTCACTCATGCCACAGCCACTTGTCACTCATGCCACTGTCACTGGTAACACTTGTCACTCATGCCACAGCCTCTGGTAACACTCGTAAGTCAGCCACTGGTAATAAACACATGGGCAAGATTTCTCCCTGCACTTGAACTCTCCTTTGCAAACATGACTCCTGAAAGCGTCTCTACTTCCCTCTGTTGGTCATGCAGGGAGGGGCATTTTGGAGTCATTGCGCGTATTAAGAGTCAATCTGATGGGCACTTTAGGGTCATCCAGAGAGTAGGGGGGGGGGTCATTCTGAAGGTCATTACGTGTGTTGAAGGTCAGGTCATTCTGGAGGGTATTGAGGTCATCCTGGGAGCGTCATTCTTAATCCACTCAGGGCACTTCAGATAATTAAAGCAGACAGGTCACTTGATGTGTGTTGGGTACGTTGGGGTGAGGGGGAGGGGCAGGTGGGAGAGACAGGGGGGAGAGAGGGAGGAGAGGTCATGAGGGAGTAATGACCCCAGCGAACACATCAGAGAGAGAGAGAGAGAGAGAGAGAATTATAACAGTTATCATTAAACATTAGTGACAGCTTTGTATGATAATCGGTTCACCTACCATAACTCTAACAGAAAACAACGCTAATGAGTACTGTTCATCCAGGAAGAAACTGGTTCACAAATAGGGTGGTGGACCCAAGTGCTGAAGACTGAAGTGCTGGTGTAGGGGGATGATGGTGATGCTACCTTATCCTCCTACCCACCTCTCCTACCTGGCCACTTCCTATCTTATCTACCCATGAACCCACCCACCCACTCATCCTCCTAGATTACTACTACTATTACTTTCACTACTACTACTATTGTACTACTATTACTACCACTACTATTATATTACCACTACAACAATAATACTATTACTACTATGCTACTACTACTACTACTCTACTACCTACCTACCCCACCTTTATACACCTGCCTATATAGAAAGACAATCACTAACACGATCTATTTTTTTCATTACAGTTTCGAGAAGGAGTGGCGAATCTCCTGCCACCAGACCAACAACACGACCACGACCTTCTACAATGGCTTGTGGGTGAGTCTACTGTAGCGTGTGTCACAGTTGGGTTTACACTACCTTCCGTGAGTGTATACCGCTCCTATTGTGTAGTGGAGTATACACAGCCATGAGTATGATGTTATGGTATGTAAACAGCTTTCGGAGTCCTCAACAGGTGGATATTTGTATACTAAAAACTTGATTGCTTTACCTTTGAGTGTCGTTCTTTGTGTATATCGTAGACTGGTGAGTGTTAGGGTGGCGTGTGTGTGTGTATTTCGTCTCAAGTGTTGTGGAATGTGGTTGTTGTGGATATTTTGTGAAGTGTGTGTGTGTGTGTGTGTGTGTGTGTGTGTGTGTATATCCCGAGAGGTGCACAAAAATATGAGGAGGAGCTGTTGAGTCTACTCGTCCGAACACCTGTGAAATGTGTACACTCTGTTATGTGCTTGTTGTTGTTGCTATGATACGGTTATTAGATGGCTGCTAAGTGTGGTGGGAGAGAGATGAGAGGTTGGAGGTGTGGTGGGAGAGAGGTGAGAGGTTGGGGTGTGGTAGGGGTAGAGGTGAGAGGTTGGGGTGTGGTAGGGAGAGAGGTGAGAGGTTGGGGAAAGAGGTGAGAGATTGAAGTGTGGTGGGGGTGAGAGGAGAGAGGTTGGGGTGTGGTAGGGGTAGAGGTGAGAGGTTGGAGGTGTGGTGGGGGGAGACAGGTGAGATGATTACGGTGGTGTGTGCAGGTGACCTTCACAGTGTGTAACCTTGAATGACGCTTCCCCTCCCCCCCCTCTCTTTCTCTGTAGGCTGGATAAACTAGTGACATCTATATTATTGTCACTCCTAACAATGTTGTATGAAAGTACATTATAGATAACATAAAAAAATGAAACGTGAAAAAATAAATAAATAAACACGTGCATGAGGCAACCACACACAGACAATGATAAACAAATCAGGATGTAGATAGCAGGATGGTAATGTTTGTTTATAACGTGGAGATATGTACGATAACAGCTCCACTCACACTCATTTAGGAACGGGGGAAATATATTGAGATACCATGCTGTGTGTGTGTCTGTCTCTCACTGACGTAAATATTTGATTGTGGGAAAATAAGATCAGTGTTTGGTTGTTTTTCTTAATGTCTTAAGTTTAGAAGTTGGCATTTTCAGGGGTTTTTTTGTGTGTGTGTGAGTGAGTAATGCTTAGGATGTCTGAGAATAAGATAGGACAATAATATCAGCGGACCTGTAACACTGGTACAATATAGACCTGCACCTCTCTTGGCTACGACTTTTTATATAATTTCTCAACACTGCCCCGGGGTTACTTGACAAGAACTAAGAGGCGTGGCCCAGGAAAGGCAACACACACCGACTAGAAAACGGTTATATTTATTACTGGTGTGTGTGTGTGTGTGTGTGTGTGTGTGTGTGTGTGTGTGTGTGTGTTCTTTTAGTACACCATTTTAATATATATACATTAGCCTGAATTTAAATAAAAGCCATTCTTACCGATATATAAAGTGTTGTAAATAAGATGAATTTAGAAAAACTCTTCACTCATTTACAAATGCAGTTTTATTCTGATAAGGCACCCAGTTCTTAATTTAATAATGTATAAGACAAAACAAACTTTTTATATCATTATAAAAACGTACATGACAGTACTGAATAAAAATAAAACGAAATTTGATGAGTAAAAAAATATATAGGTACTGTACTTATAATTATGGTACAGTATAGGTACAGGACCTGTACCTATACTGTACCTGTACGACGGGTGTATTAAAAAAATGATCAATTATCATTTTTTTTCACCTCTTATCAGCTTATCAGCCGTTCAGGTAGTTGGTCTATCCATTGTTTTTGACTAAGTGAAGCCGTTCCTTAACTGAATAAACAGTATAACATCTACAACACACACACACAAATCAGTGAGACCAACCATAGCTAAAGAAATCAGGAGAAGGGAAGCAACCTAGCTGTACCTCTTCTGTTTACAGGTAAATCTCTACTACAAACTGTTATTTTCGGATAAAAGATTATGCTCAAAATCTTTAATGATAAAAATCGGTGTTATCTCCACAGCTCGCAACTACAACCTGGATAAGGCTGAGCAGATGCTGAAGAAGGTGAGTGTCTTACTGGTTGAGGGAACATCAGTACCACTAAAATATTCTACTGCTGATCCATCTTGATTAATTTTTATGTTCAACCTTTGTTCTGAACAAAAATACTGTACTGTACATGTTTAGGTAAAATATCAATGCCTCATATACAGACTATTTGTTTGTGTGTATAATGTACTGTATAATGTATGTGTAAGCAATTGGAAATCAATAACAGTAGTACAGTATTAAGATTGAATTTATATTTGCTGTATTAAAATTATTAGTGAAATTATGTGCTATACAGGTATTAAAATGATACCCAGTAGTGAAATCACACACGATACCCGGTAGTGAAATTACATGGCCAAGCAAGTGCTCTTTATAAGGATAAGTGGAAGGCTTATTGTACATTTTAAAATAAAACTACAATACAGTATTGTACCCTACTAGAGATATGTGGACCCCCCCTAAAAAGATAATTTCTTGGAGGTTAAAAGTGATTTACACGTGACACCTTCACTGAATAACAGTTAAGACTTGACAGGTGTGGGGAAGCTTACATTTGAAGACATTACCACTGTTTTCCAAAGTCCAGAGAACTCTCACCTTCAGACGGTCAACGCGGCAGTTAATGATGACTCTAACAGTAAATTGGAGAGCCTATCAGTTACTGAGTATTTATGGTAGAATTATGAGATAAAGTGTTCTATTGATAGAGGAATATAAGAAATACAGTTTAGATCCTAATCACTGAAAACTTGAAGGTACTGTGTAATAACATTGTGTCCTAAAATAGTCCTTTCTTTGAGAAGGCATGAGTGAGTCTTTATCGAATGTAAATTGTTTGCTGATGAGTACTCTCTTATGATAGTAGTGTACTGTACTTGTACACCATACAATACTAAAATTTTATTAAAACTTGTTCCCAAGGCTGGTGTGTGAAGTGTATAATATGGAGAAAAAATATAAACTAGAATTGAAAGTCAAAATTAATTCACATCTCCAGTAACTTAACTTCTGCAGTAATCTAAATTAAAATTAGGTACCGGTACATGTATTGTCAATTATGTGCAGGTAGAGGTAATTGATAAAAAAAGAGCCATGATTCCCTATACTGTACTGTACAGTATGTAGGAACTGAGTACTACAGTACATGTAGTCCAGGAGAATAAGTAAAATAGATAAAGCTCACACAGTAATTTGTTGTACCTCAAGAGTATGGAATGGCGTAAGGAGTGGAGCACAGACACGGTTTTGGATTGGGACGTTCCCGAGGTGCTCCTCAAGTACTATCCAGTTGGCATGGCAGGGCACGATAAGACAGGGCTTCCTGGTAAGTTCTTTTCAAGTTGTATGCACGCCCACTGAAGATTATTGACATCTACCGGGTATACAAAACTCCCATATTGTTGACTTAGAGTATGAATTTTTTTAGTGTATAATTTAATCATTGAAATAATTGCAAAAATCTTACTGTTATGTTCTTTTTGCGATGAACAGTGTGGATCATTCCTTACGGAGGGTGTGACATGAGGGGCCTTTTATCGAGTGTACGAAAGAACGATTATATCAGGTACACAGTACGTGTCCTGGAGGCATCTCGGCAAGATATGGCTAAGCAAACACAGATACTGGGCTACCCCGTTACCCAACAGTGCTGTATCTTTGACCTTGATAACTTTTCCTTGAGACATGTTACTTGGAAGCCTGGTAAGTGATAACCTTCTCTCTATAAGTAATTTGGGAGCTTTAAAATACAGTATAGTTATAATCAGATTAGTGTAGTATACAATCAGTATTTTTTATAGGTCTGTGGAAATTTAAATTCGGTGACTCATTCTCCAGTCATGTACAGTATTATACAGGAAAACATCTGTCTGTAAAAGTATATCAGAGTTTTATAAACAGTCAGTCAATAGGAATTACTGCATCTGAGATAAGCTACAACAGATCAGCATTAAGTATTTTAAATTTGTCTCATTATTTTGGCTCTGAATGGGTTTTCTTGACATAAGTATTTTGCAATTGGTTTATGATGTATATTTTACCCCCCTCAGCTATGGATGTGATCCTTGAGTTAGTACAACTGTATGAGGCCAATTACCCTGAATTTCTCAAATGTGCCTATGTCATAAATGGTGAGTTACTGCTGCTATTAATAAACAGCTCATGAAAAACAATTATTTTGCACTAATTTCCATGTTTTTATTATAATTATATATTTTATTGGTGGATATGTTCTTCAAATAATTGCTTCTGGTTTCATAATAATGTAAAATTCATGACACATTCATCACAGACAAATTATTTGTAAATAAATAATAAAACCTTCCTTCACAGCACCAAAGGTGTTTACACTAGCATATGCAGTGATCAAGCCTTTCCTCCATGAAGTTACCCTAAAAAAAATACGAATATTTGGACGCAGTGGGTGGAAGGAAGCCCTGTTAAAAGATATTGACGCTGACCAACTTCCTCAACACTGGGGAGGCACCAACGTAGACCATGACGGTGACCCCAAATGTCCTTCACAGGTACGGTGGCTCTTTGATTAGTGTTAACAACAGTAGGCGTTAGCTATCAGTTCTTTGTTCACTATGCTTATCTTGAACTACTTTCTGACAAACACAACCTTGGTGAAAAGTACAAAACTCTCTCTTTCAAACAATGTACAGGGTATTAAGGAATGATTGAAGCTTAAAGAAATGTTATGATGCTAACATGTGGTAAGTACAACATGATACGGTAAATAATATCCTCGTAGATAATGTAAACCCATGCATGTTAATAGTAAGTCTGTAGTATAAATCCTTCACTTCTTCCAGGTAAACTAATTTAACAGTGTAAAATGGACAATGGTTTTTAGAGAGAATTAATAAACAAAACATAGTTAGTAAGAGAATTATATACAGTACTGTACAATGTATTATAATATGAGTGTGTAAATGTCCTTTAGGGCCTGATGGAGTAACACATAAAGATAAATTGGTGGTGAAACATGATTTGCTTTAGGTGAATATAGTACAGTACAGTATAATTATAAAAGTGTGCTACAGCTACACAACCAGTAGCTAAACTTAAGTGCAAGATGAATAGCCTCATAAATATGAGATGCTCAAGGTGAGAACAAAATACGGTAAGTGACGAATCAGCTTAACCCCTTCACGTCTTGACGCCACTTTCATTATATCATTTGGCTAACACCAGACGCTTTTATACAGCTCAGAGGGGAACCTGTACACAAGGGATTAAGACGTGTTTATTATACCATTATTTTTATTTCAAAATTGATTAACATTCACCGAATTTCCTGGTATTGTTTTAATTTAACTCTTGTCTGCTTCTCACCCAGAGTGCCTCACACACACACACACACACACATCCATAATTCAATACACAACTTCAAATCTAAGGTTATTATGACTGTTGTGTACAAGTCTCAAATCTAAAGTTATTATCATTGTAAAGTCCTGTACAATATTGTATATATGTCTACAGATATGTCTAGGAGGAGAGGTACCCAAGAAATATTACTTAAGCCTGAGCAAGAGCAACCTATCTAAACTGACAGAGGACGACAAGTTGTCTACCCTCACGCTGAGCAAAGGCGGCAAGAAGAGACTCAAGTTTGACGTCAAACACTCGGGATCCCACCTAAAGTGAGTACGCCAGTGTGTGGATAACATACCTGTACAGTGAAGCCTTAATATACAGTAATGGACTTTTCTCCACATACAGTACCTGTACTACATTAGATGGAAATTTCAGATCTAATGGACCCTCGATATTATGGACTTTCCTCTCCATATAGTCCATTATATAGAGGTTTAACTGTATATGGAAAATACAATAACAGCCCCAAAACATTACCTCAAAACTGAACCCTTTAAAAGAAAAGATAAAGAGAGTCATTTGGATTTTTTTAAAGGGAAAAGAGAGGAGGAGGGTGGGGGGGTGGAGCTTGTGTCAGGAAGAGGGAAAGTGATTACAGTTCCAGTCAAAGTGTAAGGGGTTCTTTAGTGATGTGTAATGTTGCCACTGATGTTAGAGAGAGAGAGAGAGAGAGAGAGAGAGAGAGAGAGAGAGAAAAGATGAATAAGAGGGAGAGGAGAAGATGAATGAAAGAGAAGGAGAGAGAGAAGAGATGAAAGACAGAAAGAAAAGAAGAGGCAAAGAGGAGAGAGAAGATGAGAGAGTGATTTTCATGGATAGTTTACCTAGCTAGTAATACTGGTGAAAACCAAGGCAATGGAGCAGACAGCAATTTAAGTAAATAATGACGCTGAATGCAAATGGCTGGTAAATCGGGTTATGATTACAGACAACATTGCTCTGGTGATTCACGAGGAAAAATTACACATTCACTGTACTAATGAGAGAGAATTGTTTAATAGTGAATGTGAATGAAAGTAATGGAAAGTAGGAAGATATTGATTCTAGTTGGGGGGGGGGGGAGACAGAATATAGAGGTAGTGGGAGGTTTCAAATATCTGGGAGTGTATGAAATAATGAGTGACAATTTGCATCACAGAATAGAGGAGGAAAGTAAAATTGGATTGACAGATTTACATATAGAGAGCACAGCATCAAAGGGAAACTTTGTGTGTGTGTGTGTGTGTGTGTGTGTGTGTGTGTATATGTGTGTGTGTAGCTCTGGCTGATTCTGTCCCATGTAAATTTGTCAGTTTATCCTCCTTGAGTCTTAAGGAATTATGAGTCCAGTAAGTAACAATGAATGTGGTCATTTTATTCCAAACATTAAAAGTCCAGGAACTGTATTTCTTATAAATGTTTTTATTTTTATTATCCCATCAACACATTATTTTCCCTCCACAGTCCCCTTGTTGTTTAGTCATCTTTGATTATTATTATTATTATTATTATTATTATTATTATTATTATTATTACAGGTACTATTACTACCGTACTATTATTATTATTGTTATCCTTATTATTTCAGGTGGGAATTTCGGAGTGAAGATTTTGACATCGGTTTTGGAGTGACTCGCAAAGTAAAGAAAGGGGAGGAGGAAGTTTTGGTGCCGTTACAAAGAGTCAACTCACAGTTAGTAACCGAGGAAGGCTGCCTGGTGTGCACGGAAACTGGCACTTGTAAGTCCACTTATTAAACTCTGTACTGTATACTGCATTTATGCTTACTGTCTTTTTTTTTTATATAATACAGTATAAATGTTTTTACTATTTTGAAAGATGATGAAAGTTTAAAATCTTCTATGCACTATACCTGTACAATACTGTACAGTACTGTACTGTACATTCAATGCTCAGATATTTTTTTCATGAACACTTGTTCTACATTAATTGAACAATATATTTCCTGAAGTGCAAATACCTGTACATCATTTATTTATTTATTTATTTTATTTATTTATTTTTATTTATTTTTTTACGGGCATTAGCCCACCCGGGCACAGGTCATTTTATGACCCACATCAAGGCCTGGGGGGCAAAAATAGAATAAAATAATAATAATAATTATAATAATAAGAAGATGAAGAAGAATAAAATTAATAAAGCTTAACATAAATAATAATAGTACGGTAATAGTAAGGAGCCATAATTGAAAAATAAAAATAAAAACAAATATCAATAGTGAGAAACAATATATGTTTGTTGTGTTGTCAATAGTAAGAGAAACAATTGAGACCCTGCAATTTTTGTGTAAATGAGACAAAAAAGTCAGATGAGCAACCTGAGACTTGGTCACAATTTTTTTGATGCCATATGGCAGCAGGGTCTACCATTAGACAACACATTATGCTTCCAATATCTTCCCAGGCGGTAGTACCTCCCTGTTTGATAGGTGCCTACTACCACTATTGTCCAGTATTTTTGACCGTATGCAAATGTGACTTACATTTGGTACCAACTACCATCTTTATTCAGAAGTTTTACATTATTTTTACAACTTTATTTGTCCATTGTGTTTGCAATGGCTTGTTTCATGGCTAGATAACTACAGAGCATTAATATGAAGAAACATTTAAGGCATAATGGGTCTCAAAATATCCATGCAAGGGACTTGGGAGATTTACTACAAAATAAATACTAGAAGGGAATCTTGAATACACAGATATTTTTTAGTTGACAAATATTCAAGATTTATTATTTGCAAGCAGACCCCAAGTTACAAACCCGATATGTTCCTAGATCCTGTTTGTAAGTCGGAACAGATTAATTTCATAGGTTAGGCTAGGTTAAAGCACAACCCTGCCCATACAAAACAACAATAATATCCCATACATAAGAAATAATGTAAATGCTGTAAATAAAGTAATGTTACACAATATAAAGTAATGTAAAAAAATAAAATTCTCATTACTGTACAGATTTTTGTGATGAAAAATTGGGATCCCATTCATAAATACGGGTCTTCGTAAGTCGGGCGTTCGTAACTTGGGGACTGCCTGTATTTACAAGTAAATTGATATTTTGGATACAGTCGTGAAGTATTAAATGATTTGTGGAATGATAACAACGACCACTAGGAGTCCAATATCTGTTATTAAGGAAGATGTGTAAAATCTTTTAGCGTCTGCAATGGCCGTAAAGTTTGATGACAGGTGAAGATGTATTGTAATTATAATTTGGAGATTCATCTAGCTCATTGTTTTGTAATGACTAGCCATCAAGGGAGGATCCAGGGGGGGGGGGGTCCAGACACCCCATTTCACCAGAAAATTCCAATACTTTTTCTTTAATGCAGTATTGTACTCAGGCATTTTTGTATAGTAAATAGTAATTACCATTGACTTCAGAATATCTTCTAATATCAAGTGTCCCCGTATATTGGTAAGATTAAAAAAAAAAAAACTTGCACGGACTTACCCCCCTGATATTCCTGGATCCACCCCTGGCCATGCATGTTATCTGTGTCCCACCTAACACATTGCACATACAGTATTTTCTTCTGTTTTAAGTACCTTTCAAATCTCTGGTAACAATGAGAATTATTGTATATTTGTAAATTGGAAGAATAGTGAGGAGAATCTGTCTTCATGATGGGGCCTTGTTGCCATGCAGTGTAAGGAGAGAAATACCTTGACCTAATAACTACCAATGTCTTCATGCCTCTTCCTCTTCTTCAATATAAAATTCAGTATGTGAAGTTTTATTGACATGCTCAAAGTTGTTGAATGTCTGATCTGTGAGAATGCCTGTTGAGTACATGACCTAAATACGAAGAGCTGCGGAACATTTGATTTCAGCGAGAACACTTGTTGAACATACTGTATGACCTAAATGTAACCAGCTGCTCCACACATGATATTTAATGTCATTGGGGGGTATCTTTAGCTCAAATGGAGTCATTATGAGCATGTGTGAGAAGCCTGGTATCATTATGAGTACTTCTGAAACACTTGAGTCACTATGAACATCATTATGAGCACATGTGTCACTTGGAATCATTAAGAGCACATGTGTCACTTGGAATCATTAAGAGCACTTGTGAAACACCTGTGATAGCCAAGACTTCTGAGATACCTAAGATCATTCTGAACATGTGTGAGGCATCAACCATCAATATGAGCACTTGTGAGGCGCCAACCATCAATATGAACACTTGTGAGACGCCAACTATCAATATGAACACTAGTGAGGCATCAACTATCATTATGAACACTTGTGTGAGGCATCAACTATCACTATGAACACTTGTGAAGCACCAACCATCAATATGAACACTTGTGAGGCATCAACTATCATTATGAACACTTGTGAGGCATCAACTATCATGATGAACACTTGTAAGGCGCCAACCATCAATATGAACACTTGTGAGGCATCAACTATCATTATGAAGACTTGTGAGGCATCAACTATCATTATGAAGACTTGTGAGGCATCAACCATCATTATGAACACTTGTGAGGCATCAACTATCATTATGAACACTTGTGAGGCATCAACTATCATTATGAACACTTGTGAGGCATCAACCATCATTATGAACACTTGTGAGGCATCAACTATCATTATGAACATGAGGCATCAACCATCATTATGAACACTTGTGAGGCATCAACCATCATTATGAACACTTGTGAGGCATCAACCATCATTATGAACACTTGTGAGGCATCAACTATCATTATGAACACTTGTGAGGCACCAACTATCATTATGAGCACTTGTGAGGCATCAACCATCATTATGAACACTTGTGAGGCATCAACTATCATTATGAACACTTGTGAGGCATCAACTATCATTATGAACACTTGTGAGGCATCAACTATCATTATGAACACTTGTGAGGCATCAACCATCAATATGAACACTTGTGAGGCATCAACTATCATTATGAACACTTGTGAGGCATCAACTATCATTATGAACACTTGTGAGGCGCCAACTATCATTATGAGCACTTGTGAGGCATCAACAATGTGAACACTTGTGAGGTGCCAACTATCATTATGAACACTTGTGAGGCATCAACAATATGAACACTTGTGAGGCATCAACAATATGAACACTTGTGAGGCACCAACTATCATTATGAACACTTGTGAGGCATCAACAATATGAACACTTGTGAGGCACCAACTATCATTATGAACACTTGTGAGGCGCCAACTATCATTATGAACACTTGAAATCATTACAAACATCTGCTTATCACTTCCATCATTGTGAGCACTTCTGTCATTATGAGCACCACTGGAATACCTGACATTCAGAGCATTTGTGAGACTCATGGTGTTATGATCTGCAAGGTACATATGAAATACTGTACAGTACATGGCATCATTATGAATTACTATTGAAGCATTAAGGTATTACTGTAACATAAAACCTTCCTGCCACTTGGTATCTTAATGAGCACCTACGGGGCTCCTCATGCCATTTGGAGGATTTGCAAGATATCCAAGGCTTTTATGGGAAAGGATGATATAGTTACATCACTTTGAGTACTGTACTTAAGGATCTGGGTTCAGAAATTTTAGATATAGAATACCCGTATTTAAAATGTCAGTTACACTGTGCCCGTAGGTTTCAAATTACCTTTATACCACATACAATTTTAAGTTAATAATTTACCCTTTAAACACATTACAGGTAATGACTTTCCAGAAAAAATAAAATACTTTTTTGTTGGGAAAATTACGCTTGACCAATTATCTTGCATTTTGGCATAGTAAAACCTCGATAAATCGGACTTCAATATATCGGAATTCACTTTTTCTGACTCTGAGATGCTCTGGTCACCAGAAATACTATTAAATAAAAGGGGGGGGGAAGATTAGATAAAAAATCTTATGAAATGAACAACACTTACTGAATACTGTACAGTGGTCGAATCAGATTTGCTATAGGCCTACTGAGAACCAAGACACTTGAGTATGTAAGCAGGCTGGGGATTAATACTTTACACTACAATACAGGTGATGATAAATACACTGCAATAGTATTTATTAATTGGTGATAATACACAACTGTACTAATTTACAAAGTGTTGAAGACATGTTGTGGGAAGCTGATCTGCTGTTTGCTCTTTGTGAACAAGGACTCATGGTGTTCAGTGTAGGATTCTCTTTTCAGGAAAGCTGATTCTTTTAGGATAATATTTTATCAACCTGGCACCAAATGATCCTAAATTATATGATAATCGTGGTGGAATTGCATAAAGAAGTGTTAAAGGAGTCTTGTGGGAGAGAGGGAGCCATCCACCCATGTTACCCCCTCCCCCTCTCTGCCAGCTGCTCCCAGATAAACATTCGTCTTCCACATACAATATACTACTAAACTAATTTGTTCTTATTTTTATAGTACAGTACTGTATGGTACAGGTTTTCTCTTTATTCATAAGACAAATTCTGTGGTCACTTACATATATCACTTTACAGTAAATAACATTCATCTCGGTGAAAACAATTGTTGACAACCAGATTTATACTCATTTGTCTGATTTTTAACCCAGAGTTCAGTTTCATATTTTTTTTTATGTAATATTCTTTTAATAACCATGTTATACACTTAAAGACCTTAGTTGTTGAAGTGCAGTAATAAGATTACAACAACAACAACTGATTTCCTTTAAACAGTTCAGATAAGCAGTGTTATCTCCAACTCCCCCCACCCCATATATTCGCTTTTTTCGGACCGAGGTCTGCTCCAATCAGTCCAATTTATCGAGGTTCTACTGTAGGTCTCAACCTAGATTTTGTTCAAATATCATACAAAGGTACTCTATCACCCACTGGTTAACAGTGGACGAGTCAATACAAGATCTTTACTTCCACGACGACGTCAAATGTACACACCACAATACTGTACATACTAACGAGAGAAGTAGGATGTAAGAGGCCGAGGGATAGCCTGATGCATTCAAGAAACCAATAAAGGCAGCTTAGAAAGATAAAAAACATTGTAAAACCAAATTATGATAACAGATATTTTATATGAATGGATAAGCTTCACATTTGACTTGATGTCCACCAAGGTCTATACAATACTGTAGGCTTGTTGCTCTACTACTGAAGTGTGTCAAGTTTTATGGATGTGCCTAAAGTAGGACAGAATTTTTTTTTAAGACAGTACAAGTATTGTGTTTATAAATGGATGGACAGACTTATAAACAGCATACAGAAGTAATAACATACCCTCAAATCCCTACTTGGTAAAAGGATGAAATTTTAGTTCACTGCACTATTCTGTTCTGTACTGTACTGTGCTGTGCTGTGCAGTATTTGTTTATTCTTTACTTTGAATGTGAGAGAAATATGTTATTGTGACTATTGCACATTACAGTACAGGAAGTCCCGACTTACGAAAGCCCGCCGATACAAACGGGGTTAATCTTGAAATTTACATTGTTGGATTTTTTTTTTACCTGATGACTTATTTTTTACTTTCATTTACTGTATTTTGTCATTCTATTTCTTCTTTTGTCTTAAATTAAGTGATTTTAGATGTAGATAAGGACTTAGGCCAGGGGTGGACAAAGCGCGGCCTACGGGCCACATTTGGCCCGCCAAATTATTTCTGTGGCCCGCCACTGCATTTGGCAATCAGAAAAAAAAAATTCTTATTAATTACAGAAAGGACAATTTTGGAAGTTGGGTGGACATAGCAGCAATACTGGCTCGTCGCTGTTAACCTGTGGCCCGCGAAGTGTGCCACCATTCATGAAGTGGCCCTCCATCAAAAATAATTGCCCACCCCTGACTTAGGCTATGATATACAGTAGTGGGATTTTAAACATTATTGTGACTTTAAAGCGTCCTCAGGAACGGAACCTGTTTGTAACCCGGGGACCCCCTGTATACATGTTAAGGGGTATTTTTTTTTACTTTATACAGTATATATTATTACTGTATCCAACATACTTTTTCACTTAAAAGTGATAACTTTTTCATAAGTCATATACTGTATTTCACTAAATAAAGACAATGTAGATGAAAAATATTGTGTGTACTGTACTGCACTTCATTACAAAAGATACTGTTGTGTGTGTGTGGAACATTAGTCATTATTGTTCTACAAAGTTAAATAAAAAATTTTCTTACCCCAACAGATGTAGTGACCTTTGACAACGAGTTTAGCTACGTACGTTCAAAGAAAATTTTATACACCGTGTATGTGACACCACCTGGTAGCCTGACAGAGGAGTGATACCTGTCATCACTGCTGCAAGTATAACAGGGTACATCATCACATCAGGATACTATGCTTTATTAATGTACATCTGGTTAGTGTGTGTGGCAACCAACATACATTTCCAGAATTGCTGTCCTCACATAAATAGCAAGTTATTTTCATACTGTCATCGCACATGTAAAATGCCCATGTACAGTTGACTGTACTGTCTGGTCAAATACTTTTTTAGCCCCAAGGTAAGACCAACTCATTTAAACTTACTACTGTACTGTAATATAGAATTTCTCTAAAGCACTCTTTCATTTTTTCTTAACATTCATTAAAAATAAATAAAATAAAATTAATAAATAATGTAAAATAAAAATAAAGGTAAAGCAAATGGAGTGACGAGTACAATTCTGTATTACAGTATTTGTTACATAAAGCCATTAGGCAAACCTTCGGTCATTCATAGATGTTAAGAAAGTGTTCTTGTTACATAAAGGACAAATCTTTCAGTACTTAAGGTTGAAGATTCATTATATATATATATATATATATATATATATATATATATATATATATATATATATATATATATATATATATATATATATATATATATATATATATATATATATATATATATATATATAATACTTCATAGGTTATCATTGTAGTTGAATGTGTAAGTGTCTGTGAGGGTAAAATTTGTGCCTAGTTATGAATACATGGGAAATTGTATATTTAAATTTATCTTGTATTGTACTTCATGCAGCATTAACTGTATTGTTTCAAGTTGATGTTGTAGTTTAAAAGTACAGTATACTGTACAGTACTGTACTGTATTCCTTTTGGTAACTTGTATTATGTTACCTGACCCCGTGTTCTGCGTGACATGCAGACTCTTCTCCCCAATTACTTCCGTACTCTTCACTACTGAAAATTCATCAGCAGTGCTTAAATGTTTTGCTAAAGCTTACTACAAATTTCACGAGTGTCACAAGAAATAGGAAATATTATTGTTACGTCAAGAAACTTTATACATATGGAAAAGTAAAAAAAAATGAAAATGGATTGTGAAAAGTGAAACTAAAAAATATGTGGAGGAAATGAAAATAAGCGAACCACCAAATACCATGTTGTGAAATTGTTACTTCAGCATCAACAGTACTTAAAGACAGCAAGTGCTAAACAGAACAGAACAACACGTCACCCATGGGCAATCAAGGAGAACCTGTCTCAGTACCTGAAGATCTTAGTTTCTTTAATTTAATTAATACATCTTTATTTAGACTATTCTGACCATTGTGTTGATTGTCCTCAAGTGACATTCTCCAGCCTCTCACAGAACTTTCATAATTTTGAAGTGTTTCTAAACTTTGCCTGTGTTTAAAGATTTTGTTTTAACTTGTGAGTCTTCATCCATACTTCGGGAATATATGAGAACTTCTATATCCAGTACAGTATTGTGCCTTTGACCCCATATTGTAAGAGGACTCTTTGACATAAAGGCATCCTGTCAGTTCAAATCCAATTTGTAGTTTTTGCCCTGTATTCTTTGCTAAAGTCTTTCTTTAGTACATGTGATACACTAATTAGTAAGAATTGTTAATTTAGAACGAATGAAATTTATCTTAATTTTACAGGTTATTTAGCAACTGTTTTACTTTTCAACATTGAAATTAAGATGTTTTGACCTCTAACAGTGTTCAGGGCATTTTATAAGTAAAGTTTAAATATTAAATTTCTACCTTTACTGAGATGTTTGCTGGTAAACTTAGAAATCCTGTATTGGTCATTAGCTTTGTAATGGAACTTATGAAAGGAATCACTGGATTATTGTTTCTCTCATTGTCTCTACTGCCCATTCCAATATTTTATGTTATTTTTTACATATACAGTACTGTAGATTTCTTTTATTCTGAGTTTATTTGACTTTGTGCTTTTGTTATTACTGAAAGTGCAGATACATTGTGTTGATATTCAACACAATTTTAAGCTTTTTATCGCATGCAGAACTATATGTAAACACAAGGCCAAATTATGTCCATATTTTTTCAATTGTGATGGATTATTTTGTTTATACTGTACTATATCAATGAGATGTATTTGAGTGTGTTACATTATAGTACGAGATTTTCTTAATTAATTGGAAAATTAACTATAATAATAGTTAAACAATTCAGGGATAAAAAAATTAGAGATGGAACAGTATGTTGAGCAAGGGCAGTAAGTCCCTGATTGCATTACAAGAAAAATACTGTATTTTCCAAATAAATACTCTGTATCCCACCTTATTGGACTTTATTAACACCTCTGAATGGATAAGCACATACAGTGATCCCTCGGTTAACGAATTACCTTCCATAAGATTCTTCACTTCGGTTAACGAGCAAACCCTCGGTTAACGAATTCCTTACGAATTTTTCCCATGTTTTCGCCTGCATTTGGCTGCCGACCAGCTGTAGTATTAGTCCGCCAATACAGTAATCGGATTTAGGGCTTAAATTCCTTACCATTTTAGTAAATATCAAGAAGTTTGTACTATTCAATAATTTTAAAAATTTTATATTAAATTTTTTAGTCATTTTAACAATTATTGAACATAATTGAAGTACAGGAAACTAGTTTTTTGCGCGCCAAACAGCCACTCAACACACCAAGCTTGGCGTCAGTTTGTTTACCAGTTCAGAGGAAGGAACATCTTGTTTGAGACTCTTCAACATAAATGCTTTTTTTCTGTTTCCAGTCAAATTATTGGTCATTTTGAAATAAATTTTACATATTGATAATATATAGTGCAGTGTAGTGTTGATTTAAAGAAAATAATCTTGAATTACACCAAGTGAACTAAAATTTTATGGGTGAAATGGCAGCATGGGGTGACTTCTCTTCCACCCCAATGCCTTCTCTTCTCCCTTCTCCTCCACTCCCATTCTAATACCCATCATCATCATCATCATCAACCAGGAGCCTTCTACATGCACAACTCAAAGTAAGTGTACTTTACTGCATTTATTTTTAGTTTGTATGTAATTTTCGGTGAGCTGTAACCAAATACCCAAAAACCCATTGAAACAATGGTTTCGGTTAACGAGCAACCTTCTGGAACGAATTGTGCTTGTTAACCGAGGGACAGTAATATAAATGTTTTGGATATTACAGTTGATCTATTGTTGTAGAGCTGACAGACTTGTCCAGCCAACCAAATACTCATCACCAGAAATCATACTTATTTCCCACTACAGTATTGTACCACCAGGGGAAGCAGTGCCGAGTTCCCTTAAGGTAACAACGGCATCTTCGTGGTGTAGATTAATATAATCTTTTCTCTTTTATTTTTAATTTCTTTTTACTCTTATTTTTTCGCCCAGTTGTGCGTCAATGACCTGTGCCTGGGTGGGCTATTCCCCGTAAAAAAATAAATAAATAAATAAATACATATACAGTACAGTACAATAACAAATTAAAACATATCAAACAAATCCTGTACTTTTAAGGAATTTTATCATATACTGTATACAGTATTACATCCACAACTCATCAGTACAACAATGTTTATTGCTCCAGTTAATTTACTGATTAATCTTCAGTCCTCTTTTTTCTTAAGCAATTCATCTTCTCTCATAATCTAACAATACAGTATTTGGATAAATTCAGTTTATTATACTCTTAATCTTAATAGCTAAACTATAAACCATACCCACCTACAGTATTCCATGGACTACGTCTCATTTTACTATCTTCAACAGCTCTAACAAATTTTTACTAAACTGTCCTTCTGTATTCTACCTGTCAATGCAATCTCCATATACTGTACTGTACTTTACTTTCATCTCTGTGACCAGGTATAGATACCGGTATTCATTTGCATTTCACAAAATATGCAAATCTGTTTTTCTAAAAGGTGAATGGATTTTTGAGAAAAATTTTTGAGTGAGTTCTATTACAGCAAGCTAGAATTCAAAACATCATTTTGGCACATACTTTTTCCAGAAGAGTAATTTGTACAGTAGACACTGCCCGCCTCACATCAGGTGAGGTCTCCCACACAATCCCCTACCCTCTTACATCTCCTTGGAAATATTAATATTTTTAATTTCAACCCAAATAATGCCCCTTTATAAGAAAAGCTTGTTTTCTACTTCAGACATTTAAACAAATACCTATGAATTGCTAATATCAATATTGGAGACTATATTTTATATTTTATAATTGTACAAGCAAGCATCTGTAACAACTGTCCACCAACCAAAAGCAGCAGAAATTTGTCTTCTGCCACCTTCTGGATATTCAAGTTTACTCTGTTGTTGTGGACATAAGTTGATGGTTTGCTTGATTCACCCTTTGTTCTTGGTGAGTTGTCCTTCACATATCTAATGTTAGTGTTAGTACAGGAGGAAACTGAGTACCCAGAGAGAACCTGTGGTGATTGTCAGGTCACAATAAACAATACCCTTCTCACATCTAACCCACTATCAAACCTGTACCCCAACAGTGAGAGGCAATAGCACTGCCACTGTATTACTGATAGATGGGATGTGTTGGTTTGTTTGAAAGTTGGTTGCTTACACCATTTCCAGTCTGCAAACCAATTAGTTCTTATGCCTTACCAGTTTTCTGGTGTAAGATTGGAAAAGAAAGTTGGCTAAGGTTCAGACAATATTCAAAGACAGGAAATCAGTCCTTCTGATGCTAGAAAGGTATAACCCTAGATTGTAAGCCACTGGTACTGTCCAATCTCTAAGGCAAGTTTATATACAGTTTGAGATAAAGTACAAAAGCTTTTTCCAGATACTTCAGAAAGATATACTGTACATTCAAATGAAAGGAACTGTCAAGACCGAGGCCAAGGCAACAAGTTACTATACTGTAATAGCTTTATTGCTTGATACAGTCACTCCCCAATCTTCAACACCACTGAGGTTCAACTGATGATCTGGAGATCTTATCAAACCTCTTAATTTTCTGTGACCTCCCAAATGCAGTTTAATATGAAGCAAAATTAAGATTGGGTTGACCTGTACCTGTACTGCATTACTTTCATCCCTACAGATTTATTAAATGGACCTCAACAGAAAAACTATGCATCAGTATATTGAGGGACAACCAAGGTGCTATACAATACTACTAAACTACCTCTCAGATGACCTGAATATATATAAACATACTGTATATACTCGTGTGTAGTTCGAGTTTTTAAGACCAAATTTTTCGGCAAAAAATTGGGGGTCGACCTCTACTTGGGTAATAGTTTTGTTAGGTTGAGTCCGTGCATGATGGGAAGGGCGAGGAGCAACTTTTAGCTTTAGACATGAAAAATATTTATCATTTACTGCCATTAAACAATGGAAACATAAAATATGTACCATTTACCGGTAGGAATGAAAAGCTGTGCAGTGCCTTGAGCAGATGAAGCTCACCAACTTACAATAGGCTAAATTACCCTACAACGTGCTTTCAGTAGTCTATGTTGAAGTTCTTAGCACAGGCTAACTTATCATATCATATACGGTATCACAGTACCCACTGATCTACAAACAATACCGGTAATAAAAACCTTTTTGATATTTCACACTTAATATAATACCCGGTAATCCACCTCAACATCATATTGTTACGATGCACGACGCACCACCAGCTGTTGAGTATCAGCTAGACGGTACGTGTTTTTCGAATCGTTTTCAGTTAAAAAACTGTTACATCACAAGTATATTTTACCTTAACTGCGCCTGAATGAATATATTCTCTGAAATAAATAGTAGTTTTGCTGAAACGTGATGTATTTCAATGTAAAATTGGATAAAACACATGACGAAAACAAAAGACTTTACCTAACCTTCCAATGTTCAAGAGATGTTAATCGTTTTTTTAATAGTTTTCAGTTAAAATACTGCTATATTACAATGATATTCTATTCATACTGTGCTTGATACAAAACATTCACGGAAATGTAATATTTTTGCTGAAATGACATACGTATTAGCGGAAAGTGGGATAAAACCATGACGAAAACAATCGCCTTTCGCTTTCTTTCGTTGTTCAAAAGACGTTACCATAATCGCTTTTCGAATGATTTTCAGTTAAAAACACTGTTGTATTACAATAATATTCCCTCCTAATTGACTTGAATAAATACTTGAATGGAAATATACAATATTTTTGCTGAAACTACCCGCGCTTCAGTGTAAAGTGTCGTAATAATGGTAAACAATTTGCCTTCGGCGCTCGGTGTTTCAGGCACGGCGAACCTCAGTTTATAGGACGTAGAGTGTTTTTAGTGAAGGTTTTGCGGTTCCATTACCCTCAAAAACTTGGGTCGACCTATAAACGAGGCATATCATAAATTAATGATTTCTTGGTCAAAAAATCAGGGTCGACCTATAAACGAGGTAGAATTATAGACGAGTATATGCGGTATAGAGTTTATACATGTAACTATTAGTAAGGTCTTGCCTGTTTTGTGCCAAGACTTTGCAAACAAGGTAAGGATGTAGCTGGTGCTTAGCCAAAGGAAGGATGGGGACAAAAGTTATTTTTTCTAACACGTTTTGGAATTTTTTTCCAAGAATAAAGCAAGATGGTTTCAGTTGAGAATGTTGTCAACAGTATTAATCCTTATCATAAGATGTGTAATGGCAGAACTTTATAAATGGGTAAGGATTATGGCTTCAGTGTTAAGTTTGAAAAGTAAAAAGTCAATAATTTCGAGCTGGACTGTACCCCGTTAGCAAGCTTTTGGTGGTCCTGTACCTGTCATGTGGTAGAGATATATGGTAATCATATAAGTGCAAGTTTTGTTCTCTTAACTCTAGTAACACCGTACTGTAGGTACTGTACACAGTCTTAGTCCAAAGTGGGTGTTAAAAAATAACAATTACAAAAAAGTTTTATTTATGAATATCCTATCAATATGAAGGTACAAAACATGACTATAATTATTTTCAATTATAATCGTAATACTAAAATGTTCCATTTAGACGAGAACTAAATGAGCATAATATGCACGTGAATCACTCCTTCACATGCTGTACACAAATACAAAAGACGGAGGAACACAAATCAGTAAGAAACTGAAGTATGTATGACTGCAGCATAAATCCTTATGCAACAAAGCACTTACAAAGTAAGGCTTTCCTTTTATTTTGTATCCTTTTTATTATAAACTATCAAACCTTCTATTGTTGCGCTACTCTATCCCAGCGCCAGATAGTGGCATCGTCACACACGGTTATCAAAATATTACCGTTACGTGAAAAGGCCGTCTGTCTAATGGGGGCAACACATTTTGGGTGGGTAAGTGTTGAGCATCGGGCTTGAGATGGATCGGAAATATCTAGATCCCAAACGTAAGTACGACCCAGTTGATTACCAACTGCCAATACCTGCAACAATTCAGGCTGTTAACACTTTATCACAAAAAGATTGTTTAAGTTCATAATTCAGTTAGAAGACTGTCTTCTGATTTCTTAATTTAACATAAGAAAGAAGAAAAAAACCTGCAAGTAACAGATGCAGGAAGAATACATGAAAATTTGGACACAACAACAGGTGGCCAAGACACTGGGAGATAATGCATGCAGAAGACAAACCTATGAAAAAGTTGGTAATAATCAATAACCAAAGAAGAACCAGAGCAGAAACAAAGATGGAATACACATGTGGTCACTAATGCAAAAATTAATCCAATACCAAATACCCTGTAGCTTGAAAATATAACCAAATTATTTAAAAATGTTTACAACAGCACCTACAGTATAAAGTTTTCAGGGTCCTGTGCTGGCTAGTTTTCCCTTATCTTGCTTACAAACCCAGGTGGGATACAACAGTGTGAATCTAATGCTTTTCTACTTGGTGAAGGAGTTCAATTTCACCAACCATCACTTATTTGGTAGGTTATACTGTGACTGTGACTCCAAGACACTCTGCCGGGCTATGCTCATCAAGCATCTTGCTCTTGCAGTAAACTTCACTAACCCCTTCACTACGGGGACGCCACTATTAATATTCTATTTGGCTAATGACAGACCCCATGCACAAGGGGTTAAAGACTGAATCAAAATACTGACAAGGAACTAAAGAAACCACAAGCACCACAAGAGAACTGAAAATATGACACCTAATATTAACGTTTAGAATGAATTGTGTCAATGTCTGCAAATCCATGAAATAAAGACCAATTTTCTTCACTCAGATGTTTATTACTGTCAGCGGTTAAAGTTTCATTCAAAGGGGAGAATGAAAAATTAATAAAAGTGTAAACATTTGAGAAGTAAAATCAGGTACAGCGGGCATTTTTAATTCTAACTTTTTGACATACACTATGTACGGTGAGAATAATCTTATTTTTTTCCTTTCCCTGTTCTTGTATTATCATTTACTTTCATATCATTCACTCATTTCTAGCTTGTACATTCACTGCTGTCACACCCATGTTATAAGTGGAATAAAAATCTTTAAATGATTGTAGTAGAAGTACAGGATGTTTGAAAAAGACCTGGACAACTTTGGTTGTTAATAAATTTAGAACCACAAATGAATAAAACAATACCATTTGTTTTACTGTATATATTAGATAAACTCATAAAGTTTTGTGCACACCATCAACACAATTCAATGTATGTTGCGTTTGTAGCATGCAGGACATCAAGGCGGTACTCGAGTACATGCCGTGTTTGGCTCAACATGTTGGTGACCACTAGTGCGCATGCAGCTGTGATCCGAGCACTAAGATCCTGCAAGTTTTTCACCTTGGTCCTGTAGACTACATCTTTGAAAAACCCTCATAGGAAAAATCAAGGGGAGTTATGTCTGGTGATCGTGGTGACCAGGTAAAAGTTGGTCCGCCTCAGCCAATTCAGCGACCTAGACTGGTCTTGAAATCCTGCGCGTGAAAACAGAGCGCACATTGAATTGTATTGATGGTGTGTACAAAACTTTGTGAGTTTCTGTAACATATAAAACAAACAGTATAATTTTTTTCATTTGTGGTTCTAAACAATATCAAAAATAGACCCACATTCACCCTTACCTTTTGCCAGTAGTCCAAGGAGAACCTCATGAACCAGATTTCACATTCCTTGTAGTCAAACTTGTGTATGATTGTGACATTGGTGTCGTTGTGCTTCAGCTCTGTTTGATTGAGGAGACCAGGCTTCCAGCACACTATGGTGTTTTCACAACTCTGCAAGAGAAACAACATTGAAATACATTATTATTTTGTTAAAGGATATCTATATCCCACTTGTATGCATAAAAAAAAAAAAAACTTAGAACCCCTTTAAGAGGACCTTCATTCTTAAGACAGCCCACATCCACCGTCCAGGTTGTATTCCACCAAATTCATGAGAAAAGCTGTATATCTGTTCCAAAGGTGAGGTGGATTCAAGTAAAAATACACTTAAAATGGAAAAATAAATGTCCTGCATTAGAGTGCATATTTTCCATGTAGAAATTGTTTACCCTCAATAATGTATTGTTTACAGTTTTATAAATAACTATACTGCACTTTTGCTTACTACTGCCCCCCCCCCCAAAAAAAAATATTAAATAAAATCTTGAAGTGGGGCCCTACTCCAATACGCTATCAATTCAATTCATTTACATAAACAAATGACAGAAATACAAAAATACAAAATTTACCTTGGATAGGATGAATCTACCAAGCCAGCGAACACAGTCCACATAATTTCTATGAATATCTCTGGTTGAAAAGTCAGGGAAATTCTGCTGTACAGTTGGGAACGGTCTCACTGCTCGACTGGGGTTGAACGTGTACGACTGGTTGATGGTGGAGAGCATGATGTCTGTAGTCAGCTTCCAGATCTTTAAGGAATGGTCCATCCCACATGATACAATACACATGCCTTCCACATCTATATCCTGTAGAATTACATACATGAAAACAACTGCGAGACTTGGAAGAGTAAACATTATGAGATTACTGAACTTAAATTAACCCCCTTGTGTATAGTGTCATGTCTGAGCTGAATAAAATCACCTGGTGTTAGTCAAAGTAAATATCAATAGTGAAGGGATTAAGGAGTTAAAATACCATGAGTACACAAGTTTCACATCCAATTTCAACAACAAAACACAACACGAGTAAAAATAATAAAAGGAACACGAGATCTAGTAGAAGTAAAACAGTAAACTAACATAAATGCAGCAGCTGATTACACATTGACTAAAGGGTTATATCAGAGAACTCATCCAGAACCTCAGCATCATTAATCATCAGAGAATTCAAACAGAGCCTCAGCATCATTAATCATCAGATAATTCAAACAGAGCCTCAGCATAATTAATCATCAGAGAATTCAAAGAGAGCCTCAGCATAATTAATCATCAGAGAATTCAGAACCTCAGCATAATTAATCATCAGAGAATTCAAACAGAGCCTCAGCATAATTAATCATCAGATAATTCAAACAGAGCCTCAGCATAATTAATCATCAGATAATTCAAACAGAGCCTCAGCATAATTAATCATCAGAGAATTCAAACAGAGCCTCAGCATAATAAATCATCAGAGAATTCAAACAGAGCCTCAGCATCAGCAATCATCAGAGAATTCAAACAGAGCCTCATCATAATTAATCATATTGACAAAAATAAGATCAGATCAGTGAAGTTAACAAATAATTTCAATGGCTGACAGAAATCTAAAACTGGTGAACAATGGATAACAATGTTGTTCAGGTGTGAAACATATTCTGGATGCATAAGAAAGAACCACGTTTAAAGTGACAAAATTATGTGTCCGAGAGCTATATGTGTGAGGCAAATAGGATGCACTAAACAGGGAAACATAAGGAATAGTATAAATGGAAGGAGTGTGAAGCAAAACAGAAGAGAATGAGGTAATGGATAGAGGGTGAAGAAGGTTGGCCATTTAAGAAACAGGTGTAGGTGTGTTAACTCTCAGCCATGGCATCAAGTGGTTATAGGGGACTACGAGTATATAAAGGTGATACATGATAATGGAGTGTAATATAAAACAACAAAAGTCATTCTCATGGATATTCTTAAGGTCTCACTGTGGAAGGGGAACACCAAGATAGAATACACCTGGTAGAGCAGTTCAAGAGAGACAACAATGGAAGATGAGGAGAGAGTTCATACTGCTAGTGATTCTGTCCACCAAGGAACACACAGGGAAAAAAGAGAGAGATATAGACAGAGATAGAGAGACAGACTGTGATAGAGAAAGACAGAGAGATAAGACAGTGACAGATAGGGGCAGAAAGACAAACAGTGATAGAGAGGGACAGAGAGTGAGTGTGATTGGTGCCAGACAGTGAGAGAGGGGGACAGAGAGGCAGACAGTGATAGAGAGGGACAGACAGGGACAGACAGTGATAGAGAGGGACAGACAAGAGATAGAGAGGGACAGAGATGCAGACAGTGATAGAGAGGGACAGACAGGGACAGACAGTGATACAGAGGGACAGACAGGGACAGACAGTGATACAGAGGGACAGACAGGGACAGACAGTGATACAGAGGGACAGACAGTGGTGGGATTGGTGACACAGTGATAGAAAGGACAGACAGAGGCAGACAGTGATAGAGAGGGACAGACAAGGACAGACAGTGATACAGAGGGACAGACAGGGACAGACTGTGATACAGAGGGACAGACAGTGATACAGAGGGACAGACAGGGACAGACAGATACAGAGGGATACAGAGGGACAGAGGGACAGACAGAGATACAGAGGGACAGACAGGACAGACAGAGATAGAGAGGGACAGACAGGGACAGACAGATACAGAGGGACAGACAGTGATACAGAGGGACAGACAGGGACAGACAGAGATACAGAGGGACAGACAGGGACAGACAGTGATACAGAGGACAGACAGGGACAGACAGTGATACAGAGGGACAGAGAGATACAGAGGGACAGACAGGGACAGACAGTGACAGAGGGACAGACAGGGACAGACAGAGATACAGAGGGACAGACAGGAACAGACACAGAGGACAACAGGGACAGACAGGATACAGAGGGACAGACAGAGATAGAGAGGGACAGACAGACAGTGGACATGTGGTGACAGACAGTGATAGACAGAGGACAGACAGACAGAGGACAGACAGTGATAGACAGAGAGGGACAGGACAGAAGGGACAGACAGAGACAGTGATGACAGAGAGGACAGACAGAGAGGGACAGACAGTGATAGAGGACAGAGACAGACAGACAGTGATAGAGAAGGACAGGGAGACAGACAGTAATAGAGGGACAGACAGTGATAGAGGGACAGAGACAGACAGTGATAGAGAAGGACAGGGAGACAGACAGCACAGAGGGACAGACAGTGATAGAGAGGGACAGAGAGCTAAGACAGGCTAGAGGACAGAGAGACAGACAGCACAGAGGACAGACAAATGCTAGAGGACAGAGAGACAGACAGTGATAGAGACAGAGACAGAAAGATAAGACAGTGATAGAGGGACAGAGATGACAGACAGTGAGAGGGACAGAGGACAGACAGTATAGAGAGGGAGAGACACAGACAGTGATAGAGAGGGAGAGACAGAGACAGTGATAGGAGGGACAGAGAGTTAGACAGTGATAGAGGGACAGACAGTGATAGAGGGACAGACAGTGATAGAGACAGACAGACAGACAGTGATAGAGAGGGACAGAGAAAGACAGTTAGAGAGAGACAGAGAGAGTTAGACAGTGATAGAGAGGGACAGAGACAGAGAGTGATAGAGACAGACAGACAGACAGACAGACAGTGATAGAGAGGGACAGAGACAGACAGTGATAGAGACAAACAGACAATCAGTGGCAAACAGACAGACAGACAGTGATAGAAAGACAGAGAAAGACAGACAGTGATAGAAGGACAGAGAAAGACAGACAGTGATAGAGAGAAAAAACAGTGACAGAGAGACAGACACTGATAGAAAGACAGAGAAAGATAGACAGTGATAGAGGGACAGAGAGAGACAGTGATAAAGACGGACAGAGAGAGACAGACAGTGATAGAGACAAAGAGATAGACAGTGATAAATAAGGGGACAGAGACAGATAGTGATAGAGGGACAGAGAGACAGACAGTGATAGAGAGGGACAGAGAGACAGACAGTGATAGAGGGACAGAGAGACAGACAGTGATAGAAAGTGACAGACAGACAGTGATAGAGAGGACAGAGACAGACAGTGATAGAGAGAGACAGACAGTGATAGAGAGGGACAGAGACAGACAGTGATAGAGAGGGACAGAGACAGACAGTGATAGAGACAAAGAGACAGACAGTGATAGAGTGACAGAGACAGACAGTGATAGAGAGGGACAGAGACAGACAGTGATAGAGAGTGACAGATACAAACAGTGATAGAGAGGGACAAAGATATACAGACAGTGATAGAGATGGATGGACAGAGAGAGAGAGAGAGAGAGACACAGACAGTGATAGAGAAAGACAGGGAGAGACATACATTTAGTGAGGGTAAATATGCTACTCACCGTACTAAGCACCTCGTCCCTGTGGGCCTCTACTCCACCAAAGGTCGCCACCAAGATGTCAGTGCGAATGTTCCACATCCTTAAAGCGTGATCCTTGCTAACTGATAGTAACAAGTTGGGGTCCCGTGGGTGGAACTTCAACTCATTGATAGCATTTCCATGGCCTTCAAGAACATGAGAACAATATGAACAAAGAAACAATACACAAGACTTAATACATCAGACTAGTTTACCTTCATTCATGTGGTAATTCTACTCTATAGGTTACATTACTTATCAAACACCTTGTATATATCACTATTGGATCCTCTTTGGAATAAAAATATCATACACCCAATAGATTCTACTTTATCTATTAATTTCTGTATTCAATGAGAAACAAAAAATATGGCTGTAAATTTTTTTTAAGGTTCTCAGATCTGTTTTCTTGGCTTACTAATTTTTCTTAACATTAGAAAGACTCAAGTTTAACAGCCCTACAATCTTCATCATGGTGTATAAACTTTTAAGTAATTTTAAATAAAATCTGATGTTAGTTTCACAAAAACTGCCTTCTGTATGTCTGTGTGTCAACCAAAACTACCTGAGAATATAATTGAAGTTTCTCCTTTACAGACCAGGCATGTTTAAACACTTTACCATGAAAATTAACTGAAATGTACAGTCACTCAAAAGCTATCTTACCGTGGGGGTCGATGGATTTCAGAATGAACACTGTGACTCTTGTTATCTCGACAGGGTTGTCAAAATCTTTCGTCCGTTGCATCATATTTTCTCAACCCAATTTTGTAAAGATAGTTTTTGGGTGACTGTACAGCAAAATAGTTCTTTGTTTACTTCCCATAAAGTACTCTTACCTATGAAATGTTTTACACACTGCATTGTGGCGAGTGAAAAGATTCGTATAACACCCCGGGAGCCGGCGGCGGCGAGGGTTGGTCTACCCGTATCTGTGTCATAACTCCAAGCCACCGTGTAGAAGTTCTCCTCAGGCTGGTAACACAAGAAAGGCATAAATTAGTCTTACTCTCCTCTTGAACTATGAAAACACTCATCGTGAGAGTGGGTCCCACAGACATGACTGCCTGATAAGCCTTTGGTATACAAGGAAGGAGTGTGGCCGACACTGCACTCAAATGCCTTCATTTCCCAATTGTAAAGTCCTGTACCCTTTTACAGCTGAGTGGACTATAAGTGCCCTGGAATTGAACCAGCAACCCTTAGGACAGAAGGTACTTTCTGTATCCTCCTGACCTTCACCTCCCCCAAAGGCAATCATACTGATCATTATAAAGGAAAACTTCCCATATAAGAAAATATAAAATGACAATAGAATATTTGACATTCATATATAAGGAGAAAACTAAGACAGAGGACTATGCTAAGAGGTCACAAATAAACAGTCACAAACTTACGTCCGGGTCACTGTAACACTGTAGGAGTTTGATGGCGCCATCATCCATACACTGATAAACAGAGATACGATTGTTGCCAGCTGTTGCAAACACGAGTGGCTGGCCATCACGTAGGTGCTGATTAAACTGCACCCCAAATATGGGCTGCCCGTGGTCTTCTTTTAAATAGCATCTGTTGGGATTATAAGAGATATTTTAATGTGTACTCTGACAGACCAAAACATAAATATAATGTAATGAATAATTGTTTGTGGGAATTTACAAGAAAACAGTGCCAACATCCTGTACTGTAATAATGTATATTGGAGGAACAAGACTATGCATTAGCACAATAACTATATTAAGGAACTCATTATGAAAGAATAAATATATTACAAATAAGGACAACAAAAACATTTAAAACATAACATAAAATTAAAATTAAAATAAAAATGATAAAAGAGATGTGCAGTAAGGAGGAAAATTGGCAAGAAAGAGGTTTGGACATACGACAAGGATGGAATGGATATGGGGATGTTCATGGGATCCAGAGAAATGGAAGAGGACATGAAAATCCACAAAGAAGTACCGGAGAAGGAGAGTGTGAGGGAAGATATGGCACGGAGGGAAAGAATCAAAATTTGGATTTATGGACCAAGAGAACACAGAGAATATATACGAGACAGCATACATGACAACAATAAAATTCACAAGAAAAATAAACACAAAAATATCTAATACATGGAGAGTTTATTAATTGAAATGGTGAAGCCAAAATTGTGCAACATTAAAAAAAATTAAGGAAACATCTTGATTTTTGGATGCAATTCACAGGGTTTTTATAACCCTGTGAAATGGGAATGATAGACTTAAGTGCACTGTATGATACACATCAATCCCTAAGGTACTAACCCAGGTGATAATTAACAGTGTTGAGTGACTGATAAACTTACTCTGGGGTACTTGTTCATTGCTTCTTTAAGAGTTCTTTGTGAAATGAGTGTCTGTCTACTTTCTCCCTTGTTTATCTAATATCTCTAAATAATAACATGTCCTGAAGTTAATCTAAGAAAATAATATTTCTTCAGACTTCCTACTCATGACAGGTCTCACATGAAAGAATAAACAGTATATAATGAGTAGCAAATGTTTTTACCTCAATCTATGTAGACTTTGACACCAATAACTGAAGTGAAGGTTACATAATAGAGGGAAGCATTCAACGTTTGAAATATTTACACTTGTCTCAGTAAAAATTGTAAACGATCCTGTACTGTAAATCACCGTTTAAAGTGACATGTAAACTACTGACTGGACTTATCAATACTGTGCTCATAACACCTTTAGTTCTAACCATACAAAAATCTTATAATTTGGTTACTAAGATTTTCAATCAACAAATACTTAAAATATATAACTGAATTTTGGTGTAAACTAAGAAGAGGTACAAAATGGGGCTTACACAAATTTGTATCCCATTTTAAGAGGTGCTGGGGCCTTTTTTCGTCCACGTTTGTTACGACCTTTTCTGCGTAGTGTTGGAGTCCCACTGCGGGAGTTATCAGCATTGGAACCACTTCCTACACTTGAGGTATCATCCTGGTGAAGACAATTAATATGTCATGTAAGAAACAAATAAATCACTCAACATGTGAAATATTATACAGTACTGCATAAACAACTTATTTAATGGCTAATCTACACTCTAAAATTACAGATCACCTGAAGATTTACCACTCTAGCTTAATTCACATGAAAATTAACCACCATAATCCTACCTGTGGGGGTTAGGTTTGCTTAGCTTAGTGTGGTTAATTTTAAGGTGAAATAAGCAAAGGCTAATCTTCAGGTGATCCAAAATTACAAGCTACTTTGAAACTAGTACAGATACTGTCTGCATCACCAACTACTAGAGCCTTCATTTTTTACATACATTATTTTGAACTGGCTGTCAAAACTTTATCTTATTGTTTCGACAATAAACATTTATGTTTAGTTTAGGTACATATATCATTATGTAATGTGGGATTTAGGTGATATAACGATTATAATTAATATATTTCCTATGGGTATTAATATAAGGCACGGTGAATCTTGTTATTGTTGAATACACATGCATGATTAGTCTCATACAAATGATACAAGACTACTACTCACCATAAACACAGATGGATGCCTTCCCCACCCAACAACAAGTACATTTAGCACTGTATAATCCCCTACCAAGGGATTCCCAACACAGCTCGACTAGATGACAATCCATCAACACCCCAGATAACAAGGAAGAAAGATTTGTGTCGTTATATTTATCGGTACATATTGTACTGAGTAAATTAAAGCAGATCACTGAATACACAAGCAACTTGCAGTAGTCCTACTGTATAAGGTGAGCTGTGCCTTACTACACCTTATCATCATTTATTGTACCCTTTATAAATGCAGTCACAATACTGGCACATAAGCATACAGTCCCACATATCAGTGATGCAGTCAAGAACACTATGTCCGAGACTGGAACCAAGACCAGCATTCTGAGACCAACATCACTGCTATATACTACGTTCAACCTGATGCATCTGTGTCCAAATACACTGTGTAATGGTTTTTCTTGCGTTTCTTTATACCCGAACATATGGCACCCTGATATTTAACACATGGAAGTCTCTCATTTCTACCTCTTCCATCTTAATGCAAAATGGAAGGAACCAAACGATCTGCTGAAAAAGTATAGCTAATGGTGTTCCCTTGTGGTGAAGAAAAAACAGAAGCATTTCACCACAGTAGCTAAGGGGGTACATGCCCATACTTGCCGGCATTACATAACAGAGACATGACTGACTGCCCAAGCAGTTTGCAAGTTGACAACTGGTGAAGAGGATAAAGTAAAGTACCCCGGCATAAGTCTAGTGCTAGCATGAAGAATAGTTTAGAAATTAATTTTCAGCAAGTCTTTGTGTTAATTGCACTTATCACTTGATGTAACTGCAGCCAGTGTTTTATACAGTAATGGCATTTAGTCTTTGGAAATACATGTCACTCATCCATCATGGAAAGTACACAATCATGCAGTTCTTTTATAATGAGTAATACAACTATGGTAAAGAATCAAAAGCTAAAGAATACATAAATTTTAAATGAACCTCCCAATAATTTTACTACTGGCAGCTAATTAAACTTGAATGTATTATTACTGTACCAGGTGTTGGAACTGCATAAGAAAAACCCTAACCTAACCTGAGGAATGTATACTACAAACCAACTACACTTAACAAACTTGTATAATTTTTTGAATTGTTAGGTTAAGTTAAGTAAGATTAACATTATGTTATGGTAGTGTTATGTTAGGTTAGCATTAGGTTAGATTAGGCATTATTGGTTCACATGACTTTAAAAAAAATCACAATACCGCAACCTCTACACTACACTTGGGTACAGTAGTGTGAAGCTAAGTGGAGCTACCCACAATGCAGCAAACTTCAACATAAACACCTCTCAAAAACAATGAATTTAAGTGTTTTTACTCATCAATCATCAACGGAGACTTATTTTCATATTTTCTCTGTCGAGCTTTCAATAACACTATGCATCAGATGGTCAGAGGTAAAGACTATGATAACAATTATGGGGCAATGAGCTAGGATAAAAACTTACCAAGACTTTAACATAATACCGTGAACCCCTTCAACGCAATGCAAGTTCATACACAACAACACCTCATAGGGAAATTTTAAAGCTTGTCAACACTCGGTGGTCCGTTCTTACTGATATTATAAACAGTTCATTGACGGCTTGTTACATTTGCCAGAGCAAGTATAGTGACAATGGCATACCTACCACTATGGCTCAAGCGACCACCAATCCTAAAATATGTTCAGAACTCTAGTACTTATCAAGTAAGGTAAGGTTTGCCCTACCTACCTAACGCGTCACATACAAGACCCCGAGAAGACATTATCTGTCCCCCACAATCATGAATACAGACACTGCGACACATCATTCTGGCAAGTTTCATGTTGTTTGCTAAGGTACTACTAGTTGGCACACTTTGTCTACACTTCTACCCAGCCTTGTTTATCTCCAGAATAAAGGAAATATTCTAAGACTAACTGAAGGTATGAAGACTGAATTAAGAATGATTTCAACTGAACAAAACACAGAGATGATGTAATTTCTAGCTACATAATGAGTGATGTTTGGCTAAAACTATACCAAACATAACAATCTTCTTTTAAGTGAGTTTGGTTAGGTTAGATTAAGTTGGGTTAGTTAGGTTTGGTTAGGTTAAGGTGAAATAGGTTAAGTTAGCTTATGTTTTGGTAGGTTAGACTAGGTTATATCAGGTTAGGTTTGGTTAGGTTAAGTAGGATGAGGTAAATTAAGTTAGGTTATGTTATGGTACGTTAGATTAGGTTATATCAGGTTAGGTTTGGTTAGGTTAAGTAAGGTGAGGTAATTTAAGTTAGGTTATGTTTTGGTACGTTAGATTAGGTTATATCAGGTTAGGTTTGGTTTCACTGATTCCTTTTCTCTCATCATTAATTGTTCATCACACAACATCTTCACCCCCAAAACACAATATCAAGTCATGTTCCACACTCAACAATCTTGCAAAACTAAATCTACAGATAACATTTTACCCATCGTATGTACTGTGATGTTCCCGAGACACGAAAATATTCTCCACTCACGACAAACTGCCTGAGACCTATTCATTATACCATTGTTCCTTACTGTTTTAACACTCATTAACATCAGAGGTTTCTAGTACAGTATTCTGACGAAACAAAATATTATTACACCTAAGACATCAGCTTTTGGCAGTTAATTTATGTAGTTTGAAAGATTCCAGTAACGTACTCGGGAAAAAACATCATTTAATTCATGTTTAACTGACTTAAAGTTCGTTGAAGTACAGAACTGGGTCAATGAACAGGCAATAAGAGGGCTAACCACATTTATATATTTCACACATATTCATTTCAATTCAAATTTCAATGTCAGTCTCCATTAACAAAAGGCCTAAATTCACCTTAAATTCAAACATTAACATATATACCTCTCAGTGAACCATAACACGTGGGTAATATAACACAAGAGGTTCAATTACAAGTTCACAAAGCTCGAGTTAAACCTTCTTCAAACGCTAAGATTCAAAAAAAAAAAAAACCCACAGCAGTTAACAGCCCTCACTTGCCTCAGCTGTTGTAGTTACTGTCTTTACTCACCAAGTCATCACCAGAGTCATCAGCCAGGGAGTTACTGTCACCATTAGGAAGAGTCATCTCAGAGGTAACAATATGGGTGCAATGATGTTAAATATTGTTATAATGCAGCAGCTTGCAATGATGGCCGCCTGACTGTGTGAGTGTTGGTGTTCCCGCGTCTAGTTGACAAAATTAAAATCAGGAATATACACTTAGCTTTATCACAGAATAATGTCTCTCTCTATCCCTCTCTTTAACCTTCTATCTCATCCCCCGTTCCATTTTCTTTATATTTTACGTTATTTTATACCATTTTCTTTATTCATGTGAGGAGAAATTAATTAAGGAATATTATATCTTTAAATATTACTACAAACACCGTAAACTGATGAAACAACTTACCAAGAGGCTATTTAATATTTACAGAGGACATTCGGGAACTCCACTACATTGGGGCATCACTACTTAAACCAACCAATGAGAATTTAGCTCCTACCGGAAGTCAACGTTGATTGGTTGCCTTGTTCCCACCTAGTGATCTATAGAATTGGGGTATTGCCATTACACCAATGTTGGTTTTTTTTAATCATAATTTCCTTCCTATATCAAGTTAATGTCTCATGATGGATTTTATTTAATGATAAGAAATATATAGTGTTTTTTTTCTGAACGTCACAGCCATACATATTATACAAAGAAAATTTTTTATATATTCTATTACCGTATATAAGTTGTAGATGACCTAGGCTGGTGAAGTGATGGAGAAGGTTGTTGGTGTTGTCCAGATAAAGTGTTATGGTTTGTTATCTCCAGTTCCAGGTCGAGGGTGGAGGGAGGATAGTGTTTGCTGTCTTCATAACAACTCCGGCTCGTGCGCACGCAAGACGGCTAGTGTTGAGAGTATACCACGACTTACAGCAAACACTTTTATATTTTAAACCAGATTGCAAGAAACCAACTTAACTATTCTAGTGTAGTTTTGCTTGCTATTGTTTATCTTAATTTGGTTTAGTTAGGGTAATTTTGGCTGGTTCCTGTCGTTCTAAAAATTAATGTTTCAGAATAAGTTTTTGGTATATTTCAAACATTAATAATTTTTGTCGCGCTGTAATGTGTTTGTAACCTTTTATTTTTATCCTCTTTGACGGTATCGCCTGGGCTGTCGGTCACGTCAGTGTTATTATGGATGAATATACATCTCATTTTCAAATAATACTAAGCCACGACAACTGTAAATATACAATGGAATTTACCTTTCAGATGCTATCGTGTCATTACTAATACCGCGCCTTAACTATACTACCACTAACTCGGTAACTGCAAACGAAGATAAATTACAAGCGTGGGAGCAGAGAATATAATTGGCTCATTTCTAATTGTTGACATTGACAAGAACTTCACTGTTGACAAGTACTGGACATGCACTGGCTCCTGATGGTTCAGATACATCCAGGCGCCAGCTATTGAAACAGGGAGGTACTACCGCCTCGGGAAATATAAGGAAGCATAATGTGTTGTCAAATGGCATCACCAACATTGTGACCAAGTCCCAGGTTGCTGATCTGACTTTCTGCCTCATTTACACACAATTGCAGGGTCTCAATTGTTTCTCTTACTATTGACAACACAACATACATATATTGTTTCTCACTTTTGATCTTTTTTTCATTTTTGCATTTATGGTTCTTTATTATTATTATTATTATTATTATTATTATTATTATTATTATTATTATTATTATTATTATTATTATTACAGAGTTATTATCATTATCATTATTATATTATTTTTTTATTTTTTTATTATAAATTTTATTTACTATGAATTATTATTATTATTATTATCATCATCATCATCATCATCATCATCATCATCATCATCATCATTATTATTATTATTATTATTATTACATTTTCGCCCCCCAGGCCCAGATGTGGGTCAGTGACCTGTGCCCGGGTGGGCCAACAGTGCTTAACAGAGACGTGACCGACCGCCCAAGTGGCTAACGAGCCGATCAGTGGCGAAGAGGATAAAAGGGAAAATAAAAAGGTAAAAGAATATAAACTGGAATAATACGACCCTAAGTTAGGGAACTAATTAATACAGGAACCTTTGTCACATAAATTTTATCAGAAAGGTTAACATCAATCACCTGGGAAAAAATATAAAAATACCTCGAGATGGAGATACAGTAAGCTCTAAATAGGTTTCTTGGGGGACCGGTGGTAGAAGCGGTACCGTTCTTGCCGCGCAAGCGAGATGTCACGGGTTCGATTCCCGGGCCGGTGGAAGTTGTTTGGACTTACTTCCTAGCCCCCATTAGTCCCTGTTCACCTAGCAGTACTGTAAAGTAGGTACCTGGTGTAAGTCGAAGTTGCGAATTCGTATTCAGGGAGTTGGAGCTTCCAATAACTTGATGACATAAACCATTGACTCTTCAGGCTTCTACGCCCTTAACTCATGAGACATAAGGCAAGCATGAACTAAGCATGCTTCCCTGTTGGGTGCTGTAAACGCTTCTGCGCTTCACCTTACACAAGGATGTAGGGGAGTGCCCAATAAAAAAAAAAAAGGGTTTCTTGGGTTATCCTTGGTAAAACCGACTAGCTGTTTACTGCATTTCTGCTGAACTTATTTGATGATTTACCTTATAAATAAATATTTATCAAATATTATCTACCTACTTATATATATTGTATATATACATCATGTTGGGCTAAGGTAAGTCACACACGAACAAACACATTTAACTCCTCTGTTTTGCTCAAAGAAACAGCTTGAAGGACAAACAGTGACATAAAAAGAAGTTACATTAAAACCAATGAATTTAGTTATGTTAGTATGCCTTGTTAACGTCTATGAATTGCTTTCAATTATTTAGTACATACAGAATAATTATTACATTAGGCATCCCTTCAACATGAGAATCTCTCCGTTCTCTGTAACTGAAGGGACAACTACTACTGAACGGCTGACTAGTGCAAACATGAAGGTCTTCTATAGTATACTGATATAAACGTTACTTGTGTCCAGTATTAACTCATCATAGTTTTTATGTTGTGTTGGAGGGATGACACGTGGGAAATGTATCTTTGTTGTCGGGCAGGAGTAGCTCACCCTTACCTGTGTGGCGGGAATCTCACCTCACAATAGCGTCACCGGTGTAGCGTCCTCAACTCTCGGTTATGTATGGTGAGGGAATTTTGACCTTAATGATGCAGTGTAGTTTCTTTGGGTTAATTTTAATTTAGGTCTGTTGTTGAAATTATAATTATCTCTGTTGTGTGGGTGATGATTTACACCCACGATGCATTCCAAGGGCGAATCCAGGGGGTCTTGGAGGTCCGGAACCCCCCCCCCCCTTCTTTATCAGAAAATTCCAATACTTTTTCCTTATTACAGCATTGTACTCAGGCATTTTTGTATAGTAAAAAAGTAATTTCTATTGACTTCAGAATATATCATAACATCAAGAGCACATGGCTTCAAAATGGCCTCAAGATGCCCATGATATTGGTTAGATTTCATAACAATTTCGGGGGGAGGGCTGACAGCTCCCCTCAAGCCCCCTAGCTGGATGGGTTCGCTGTGCTCGCCATGTGCTCGCCCCCCTTTTGATATTCCTGGATCCGCCCCTGCATTCAGTAGCCAGTTTCACAACCAAACAACAAATCAACCAATACACTCAACCAGGTACCCAATCAACCAGTCAACCACTCAACCGATTACTGAGCCAATCAATTAATCACATAACCAACCAGTCAACCAATTACAAACACATAAACAAACCATCCAAACAAACAATCAAGTCTACCAAACAATCCAATCTACCTCCCTTTACCTCCCTTTCCGTAAGTCAGTCAGTCAGTCAGTCAGTCACCTCCCTCTCCCTCCTCACCTCCCCCCTCAGTCAGTCAATCACCTCCCTCTCTATCCCTCCCTTCAGTCAGTCAGTCAGTCAGTCAGTCAATCACCTCCCTTTCCTTCCCTCTCTTTAGTCAGTCAGTCAATCACCTCCCTCTCTATCCCCACCTCCCCCCCCCTCAGTCAGTCAATCACTTCCCACTCCTTCCCTCCCTTCAGTTAGGCAGTCAGCCAGTCAGTCAGTCAGTCAGTCAATCACCTCCCTCTCCCTCCTCACCTCCCTTCAGCCAGTCAGTCAGTCAGTCAGCCGTAGTAATTCACAGTTCTCAAACAGTCACATTGTGGCGTAACAGACGGACTCGCAGGATTAAACCATAACGACTCAATTCATCCACTCAGTCACGGCTAATACAAGCAGCAGTGTTGCCAATTAACCAACTACACACACACACATGTACCCTATACACTCTTGTTTGTGTTGTGAACCGAAAACAAATTGATTTTCTGATTTGGTTTACCGTTTTATTTAAGAGTTGATCAAGTGACGTTTGAGAGAATTGATGGATGGTTGAGAAGAATTTTTTTTGGGGGGTTTATAGTTGGTAACGCTAAGGGGATTAGGGTAGGGAGGAGTGAGATAGGGGGTGATGGGAAGGAGAAATAGGAGAAAGGGGGTAGGGGGATGGGTGGGAGAGAGAGGAAGGAGGAAGGATGGGGGAGGGAGGAAGAAGGGAGAAATAGGAGAAAGGGGTAGGGGGATGGGTGGGAGAGAGAGGAGGGGATGGGGGAGAGAGGAGGAGGAGGAAGGGGAAGGAAGAGGGGGTTATTGGATCGTCGTGGCGTCTAATTGTTATTATGTGATAATAGAGATCCTCCGGCCTACTGCTGAAAGGGGGTGGGGGAGGGGTGGGAGGGGGTGGGGAGGGGGTGGGGAGGGGGGGGGGGAAGATAAGTGGGTTGATGGGAGGAGGAGGGGAGGAAGAGAGGATGATGGCGAGAGAGAGGGAGGGGGTGTTTGTTGGAGGAGGGAAGAAATTTTGGGAGGTGAGGAAGAAGTGAGAAGAGGGGGTGTTGGTAGAGAGGAGGGAGGAAAGGGAGGGGTTGGAGAGAGAACTGGTGGGGTGGGGAAGGTTAGAAGATGGGAGGGGGGAGGGGTGTTGTCGAGGGAGAGGAGGAGGTGTTGTCGAGGAGGAGGGAGGGAGGAGGGTGTTGTCTAGGATGAGGGAGAGGGAGGGAGGAGGAGTCTAGGAGGAGGGAGAGAGGAGGAGGGGTTGTTGTCTAGGAGGAGGGAGAGGGAGGGAGGTGTTGTCTAGGAGGAGGAGAGAGGGAGGGGGAGGGTGTTGTCAGGGAGGAGGGAGAGGGAGGGGGGGTGTTGTCTAGGAGGAGGGAGAGGGAGGGAGGGAGGAGGGAGAGGGAGGGAGGGTGTTGTCTAGGAGGAGAGGGGGAGGGAGGAGGAGATTGGCGGGGAGCAACACGATAAATAAATTAACAGTTAATGGCCTTCTGGAAAGCCATTTACCGCGCGTTATTTAATAGAGTAGTAATAAATAGTTACTCAGGTCTTCCCTTACCAGCCCTGCCCCTCCCGCCTCCCCGCCTCCACCCTCCCGAGCCCTTCACTTAAGAGGCAATAATAAGTTCAAGTTCGTGTGGTAAATTACTTATAATAATACAATAATAATAATAATAATAATAATAACACACACCCACACCCCACTCCTCCTCCACCCCCACACCCCCTCCCCTCCACCCTCCCCCCCACCCCCCACTCACTCCTCCACCCCCCACTCACTCCTCCACCTTCACTCTCACTTCCCCCCTCACCTATCTATCACCTCACGCCACGTATGGTACACTTGGTCTGGGTGGAAGGAACACCTGTACTTGATGACACTTAACAGCTGTGGCCTCAGTTGGTGTTGTGCTGGAGGTGGTGACACTACACACACTCGCGCCATCTACGGGAAGTGAGTGTAAGTGTATAATGTGTAGGGAAGTTATTCAAAGTGTATTAAGTGAGAGAAAACTTGTATAATTGTGTAAAATATTACTATAAAGTGTGAATTAGGAGTGTGGAGAAATAATAATAACAAAGGTTAATACGAAAGTTGAAGTAATATCGTATTTTTTTGTATGTGATATTATGACCAATCAGAAGTTGCCACGTATGATTGCCCTTAATTTATCCTGGCTCACCTATTGGCTGTTTGATGATAATAACTTACCAATGAGCTGTGAGCAAAGTATTTTTTTTTGGTTAAACGAGGTAATAAATACAGAGATTACACACACACACACACACACACACACACACACACACACACACACACACACACTGTAATATACCGCCCTGTATCCCTCTATAAAAAATATCCAGTACGTATTTGTTCATATGACGTCATTAGGGCCAACCAATTATGAAACACTTAAGATATCAACAGCAGGTGACGTAATAACTCTTCGACCAATCGCGTTCACTGTCTCCTCAGGCTGGAGCAATGATGACGAGGGTCGTGGTCTTCCTGATGGTACTGTTGGCCAATCACGTCCTCCCACACGAGCGGGAGAACTTCTTCCAAGAATTTCAAGAACACGACCACGGACACCACGACCAAGGATACGTACAGGAGAGCCAAGTACAGGAGGGCCAAGTACAGGAGGGCCAAGTACAAGATGGCCACGTACAGGAGAACCAAGTACAAGATGGCTACGTACAGGAGAACCAAGTACATGATAGTCACGAACAAGATGGCCAAGCACAAGATGGCCAACCACAAGAGGGCCACGTACAAGATGGCTACGTACAGGAGAACCAAGTACATGATAGTCATGAACAAGATGGCCAAGCACGAGATAGCCACGTACAAAATGATCAACCACAAGGACATGAACAAGATGGCCACGTACAACATGACCAACTACAAGAAGGCCACGTACAAGATGGCCAACCACAAGAGGGGCACGTACAAGAGGGCCACGTGCAAGAAGGCCAACCACAAGAGGGGCACGTACAAGAGGGCCACGTGCAAGATGGCTAACCACAAGAGGGCACGTACAAGAGGGCCACACGTGCAAGAGGGGCACGTATGAGGGGCACGTACAAGAGGGCTGATGCACAAGATGGCCAACCACAAGAGGGGTATCGTACAAGAGGCTACGTGCAAGATGGCCAGCCACAAGAGGGGCACGTACAAGAGGGCTACGTGCAAGGCCATCCACAAGAGGGTTACGTGCAAGAAGGTTAACCTTTCAAGAGGGGCACGCCAAGAGGGCCACGTGCAAGAAGGCTAACCACAAGAGGGCACGTACAAGAGGGCCACGTGCAAGATGGCCAACCTCAAGAGGGCACGTACAAGAGGGCCACGCAAGAAGGCTAACCACAAGAGGGGCACGTGCTGAGGCCACGCAAGAAGGTCAACTCTCAAGAGGGGCACGTACAAGAGGGCCACGTGCAAGAAGGCCAACCTCAAGAGGGCCACGTACAAGAGGGGCCACGCAACAGAAGGCCAACCACAAGAGGGCTAAAGAGCCACAAGATGGCCATATACAGTCCTCACGATGAACTAGTATGGTATGTGTGTGTGGGGGTTGGTTGTATGAATCCAGCTCTTCTTCATTGCCTTTCTTTCTCTTTCTGTCTCTCTTTTCATTTATATCTCCTCTCACCCATCCTACCTTCTCCTCTCTCTCTCTCTCTATTTATATCACTCTTGCTTTCTATCTCTCTTTATCTCTTTCTCTTCATTTATAGCTCACTTTCTCTTCATTCTTTCTCACTTTCTGTACCAGCATTCATATATCTCTAACACCATCTCTCTCCATTCTTTTCTCTCACCACAATCTCTCTCTATCACTATCTCTCTCTCTACTACTACTCTCTCTCTCTACCACTATCTCTCTCTCTACCACTCTCTCTCTCTACCACTATCTCTCTCTCTACCACTATCTCTCTCTCTACCACTATCTCTCTCTCTACCACTATCTCTCTCTCTACCACTATCTCCCTCCCTCCCACTATCTCTTCCCACTCTCTATCTCTTAACGTAATGTAACGAGTCAAGCGATTACCTGAGTAATTACAGTAAATTCAACTAAATGGTCCGGACGCACCTGTATCTTCACCTGTTCATTAACTTTTCATTTAAGATTGGATTACACCTATTTTGGCTTCTATCAGGTATTGCGGACCTTCGTTTTGACTTCACTTTTGTCCAATTTTTATTTTCTTTGACTTCACGTTTGTCCAATTTTGATCTTCTTTGACTTATATCAGTTTAGAATTCATTTAGAATTCACTTATGTTATATTTTCGTCCGTTTATTACTTCTCTCGGTATGTGAATTCATTTTGACTTCAGCTAGATCTTATTTTCCCTCTATTTGACTTTATCAGTGTATGTTCTTTCATTTTGACTTCAATTGTCCTATTTCTATCAATGTTGACTTCTATGTGGTTAAAATTCTTTCCTTTTGACTTCCACAATGTCAGTGACTCGAGTGAACATGGCAGATAGATGGATAGCTAGATAGATAGATAGATAGATAGATAGATAGATAGATAAATAAATATAGACAAACACAGACAGACAGATAAATAGACAGTTAGATATATCTGCCTGTCTATTAGAACTATCTATCAAGAAAAAATGTAAAAGAAAACGCTTTCTGTCACCAAATATTAGGGGAGACTCTTGTAATTCTGTAACCCGTAAGAGACCATTATTTTTTTTAATGCTGGTACTTTACCCTTCAGCAACCCCAATACCAACCAGGAGCTGCACCTCACGGAACACATGGAGAATTATGTCAAGCAGCACATGGCGACACATTTCTCTTACCTGAATTTCGAAGCCATGCCCAACTCAGAGAAGCAACACCACCTGTTTCTGGCCCACGATTACGACCATGATAACCAATTAGACGGCATCGAACTTATTAAAGCCTTTATAATAGGTGAGAGGTGTATTGAATGGATCTCAATCTCTCTTTTTTCCTCGTTTTAATTTTTTTCTATTATGTGTGTGTGTGTGTGTGTGTATGGCTAACCTCCCAACTGTTATTATTATTGTTGACGAGATACCCGCCGTCGAGTTTTCATAGAAAATTACTGTAAAAACGCCTAAATTTCACTGTATTGTGATGGACACTTTCGTAGTTTGAACAAATGTGTTAAAAAGTGGTTATTTCAAAATTAAACCTAACCTTACTTGATAAGAAAAACAAGTAGCAGAAGTATTGAAGACCGCATATTAAACTGAAAGAACTTACTATATGGTGTAAATTTACGTTTTTTGTGGACGTGAGATCGTCCGGCCATACAGAGGGGCTCATAAACGTTTACCACCGGGACGCGGCATCACCACCAAGAAAGACTAAGTAGTGCGCACCTAGGCGTCTAATTATCTACCAAACGAAGTACATTTGCCCAGGAAATGTATATCATATCAGAACTCACCGATGGAAATATAATAAGAAAACAAACAACTCATCGGCGGGTATCTCAATATAACCCTATTGTTTCTCCTGTAGTAACGTTTTTGTTGTAGTTGTTGTAGTAGAAGTAGCAGCAGTATTGTTGTTATGTACTTATTTCATTCCATTTGTTTACTTTCAGGTCAGGGGTCACGTGTACACAGCGACGAGGAACTCTCAGATAAGATTGACTTCCTCCTTAACCACTTTGATGCTGACAGAGACGGCAAGTTGTCTTTCCCAGAGTTCAGGAGGTCAGCTATGGTCATCTCACAACATTGACCTGATCTGACCTTCCTGGGGTTCAGAAGGTCAGCTATGGTCATCTCACAACATTGACCTTCCCGGAGTTCAGGTTAGCAATGGTCATCTCACAATATTGATCTGGCCTGACCTTCCCGGAGTTCAGGTCAGTTATGGTCATAGTCATCTCACAATATTGACCTGACCATCCCGGAGTTCAGAAGGTCAGGGGATCAAACAAGGTCACCTATCACCTTTGACCTGGCTTGCCTGACCTACTCAATTCACCTATTGTCAATTTCACCTTAAGATTAACCACCTAACACTAACCTAACTTATTGCTAATCTAACCTAACCTGAGTTAACCTAACCTAACCAAATGCTAACTAACCCAACCTTAATCCCCCCCAAGTAACGTTAGGGTGGTTAATCGTCAGGTGAGATCAGGTGTGGGAGAATTTTCAGACATTCCGCCATTTGTGTGTACAGGTATTCAGTTGTGATAATTTTCTATATACAGCACTTTGTAAGATATAGATAGATACATATAGATAGATAGACATATTTCAGTTTAGATAGGGTAGATAGATCGACTCGTATACAGAGAGAGGTAGTGTTAATTACCAATAAAGGTCTACTTAAACTCTACCTGTTTCAACTCACCTTGATGGGGCTACGTCAGGTGATCTACATACTTCCTCGGCCACTCCAGGATCCAGGTTGAAGCTAAGGGTCCTTCTCTTCCACAGGCGGAGAGGGACTACAGAAGGGAGGCTATTGAGAGATGTATGGTGGAGTAATTATAGCCTCAACAATTACAAGAACTTTTGGATACAATTTATTTGGTTATTTGAATATTCTTCCTTTCAGAATACTAATGTTGATATAGACAGAATATTAGATGATTTTCAGTTCTGTCCATTTAATACTAACCTTGAGTATACAACGTGTCATTGTGCAAGTCGACAGTGAGTATTTTCGATTTATTTCTGCTATTCATCGTGTTTGCTGCCGTAAAGTTATTGGGGAACATTAGAATGGCGTCTCCAGGTCTTTCTCTCTATGTCTATACACCCAGAAGTTCACCAGTGGAATAGTTGATACGTAAATGGGTATTACATAACTCGTTGCTACTGAGTGTCCGCTCCATCAGCTGATCTGTGGCGTCACGTACAAAACTCAAAACTCTTCTGTATATCTCTAGATTCCAGAATAAATTGTCATGCACACATATACAGTATAAAGTATTTTGATAAAATTCTTTCCAATTAATTATATCATAGCATATTACTAGTATTCTCATGATATTATGGTCTCAGCTTAATGTAGCTTCAGTGTCTCCCGCTAAAACTATGCTACCCCCAAAATTTAATGCATTCTTTGGTACCTCTACTTCAACCTTTGTGAAGGACAACCTCTTATGTAATATACTTTTCCGTAAAGGAGGGGAACTTATAAAACAAAAATACCATTAGAGAATATTAAGGCAAAAGATAGGCTATACGAGAAACTAACACACAGAAAAATAGTAAATATTATAACGTTGTAGCAAGATTCTGAATTCACTAATCATTATTTCGAGTTTATGAATAATGTGGGGATACTGAATACGTTGGTTGTAATCTTGTTTCATTTGTGACAATATATAAACTCTGTGTCATATTAGCGCTTTGCTTCCATGGACACTTTTTTGTACAGTAAAATTTATGTACTTGGATATTTATTTACGTTTCGTGTATTTCATGTTACTCTAGTAGGAAAATAATTTAAATAGATCGTTCACCAGCAATCACATTATATGACTCGTAAGTAGATGCCAGATATTATCAAAGGTCCAGGAACAAGTCACACAAGGTAGGTAGAATCTTCAGGTGATCTGTTGTAACGTCTGGCGCATGTTCGCTCGTGTACCGTCAATTGTGTTCATTCGTTTGTTTTCGACGCAAGGAGCAGCCTTATCTACCTACCTTGATGTCACATGAGTAGTGTGTACTGTATATGCATACTGTTAGGGTGTGGTGTAGGGTAGTGGATGCGGTACAGGGTGTGGTAGGTATGGTATATGATGGTAGGAATGTGTGGAGGGTGTGGTAGGTATGGTATATGATGGTAGGAATGTGTGGAGGGTGTGGTAGGTTGGTACATGATGGTGGGAATGCCACATCACCATCACACCAGGGTCACTCTGGCTGCTCCTTGCGTCGAAAAAATAACAAAAACGAATGAACACAATTGACGATACACGAGCGAACATGCGCCAGGCGTTACAACAGATCACCTGAAGATTCTCCCCCCAACTTATTTCACCTAAAGATTAACCACCCTAACACTAATTGGGGGATGAGTTTAGGTTAACGTTAGATTAGGTTCGCGTCAGCATTAGGTTAGGTTAGATTAAATCAGATAGGTTAAGATAGGTCAAGTTAGCATTTGTTTTGGATAGGTTAGGTTAGGTTAGGTTAGGGTGGTTGATCTTCAGGTGATCCATTACAACTCGTGGTAACTGAGGCAACATCATCTGGCTTAATCAACATCTTACTAAGGCAATGTATGTTATTTTACCACGAACTGAAGGTAAGAGAATATATCTAGTTTTAGTGATAGACAGACAGATAGATAGATAGATAGACAGACACATAGATAGATAGATAGATAGATAGATAGATAGATAGATATATAGATAGTTATACATTCAGTAATATCGTCATACAAATTTACATTGATTCAGCATGTATAGACAATGCAGGTATATAATATACATAGTGCAAATATACAAACAATATACATAGACAGTGAAGGTATATAAAAACTGGTAAGCCGTAAATCGAGTGTTGTGTTGTGTTGTGGTTGAAGTCAGGGTTCTCACATATCCAGTTCGGAGGAAAATTTGCCGTAGGAATTTATCATGTGGATGTTAAGCGTTGGCATCCAGAAGGTAAGATCCTCCACGTATCTTAGACTCATGGTAAAAACTCACTGACCTTCAAATCCGGCTGAGTCTGTCTGTCTGTCTGGTTATGCTGCTTCTAACGCCCATACACCTCCTGGTTTTCTTTACATTAAGGCTCCCGTAGACTCCCTCGACCCTAATAACAAAGATTTATTTAGTGATAAAAAACAAAAATATATCTATGTATTTGTTTACCTTGTGTCAGCTGATTTAGCCACGTACGATGACTCATTTTTTTTAGTGTTATGAGGACTTTAATCTCTGGTAGTGTAGTGGGTGTTGGTAGTGAGGGGTGAGGGGGTAGTGTAGTGGGTGTTGGTAGTGAGGGGTGAGGGGGTAGTGTAGTGGGTGTTGGTAGTGAGGGGTGAGGGGTAGTGTAGTGTGGTGTTGGTAGTGAGGGGTAGTGGGTGTTGGTAGTGAGGGGTGAGGGGTAGTGTAGTGTAGGGTGAGGGGTGTAGTGGGTAGTGAGGGGTAGTGTAGTGGGTGTTGGTAGTGAGGGGGTGTAGTGGGTGTTGGTAGTGGGTGGTGGGGGTAGTGTAGTGTGGGTGTTGGTGTGAGGGAGGTGTGATGGGTGTTGCAGGAGGTGAGGGGGTAGTGAGGGGTGAGGGGTGTAGTGGGTGTGGTAGTGAGGTGAGGGTAGTGTAGTGGGTGTGGTGAGGGGTGAGGGGTGTTGGGTAGGGGTGAGGGTAGTGTAGTGGGTGTTGGTAGTGAGGGGTGAGGGTAGGGTAGTGGTAGAGGGGTAGGAGGGGTGGGGGTAGTGTAGGGTGTTGTAGTGGGTGAGGGTGAGGGGTGGTGTAGTGTGTTGTAGGAGGGGTGAGGGGGTAGTGAGGAGTGAGGGTAGTGTAGTGGGTGTTGGTAGTGAGGGGTGAGGGGTAGTGTAGTGGGTGTTGGTAGTGAGGGGTGGTGCTGGTGAGGTTGGTAGTGAGGGGTGAGGGGTAGTGTAGTGGGGTGGGGGGTGTGTTGGGTAGTGAGGGGTGATGGGTGTTGGTAGTGAGGGAGTGTGAGGGTGAGTGAGGGTGGGAGTGAGTGAGGTGAGGTGTGATGGGTGAGGGGTGAGTGATGGGTGAGGTGTTGGTGGGAGTGAGGGTGAGGGGTGTGAGTGTGATGGGTGTTGGTGGTGTAGTGGGTGTGTGAGGTGTGTGTTGGTAGTGAGGGGAGGGGTGAGGTGTGATGGGTGTTGGTAGTGAGGAGGGGTGAGGTGTGATGGGGTGGTAGTGAGGGTGGGGGTGAGGTGTGATAGGTGTTGGTAGTGAGGGGAGGGGTGAGGTGTGATGGGTGTTGGTAGTGGTGAGGTGAAGGGGTAGTGTAGTGGGTGTTGGTAGTGAGGGGTGGGATGTGTGGGTGTTGGTAGTGAGGGGTGGGGTGAGGTGTGATGGGTGTTGGTAGTGAGGGTAGGGGTGAGGTGAGTGTTGGCAGGTGTCAGGGCAAATAAATGTCCTGATACAGTGTTGCACTATTAGGAGATGTTGTGTGTTGTTGAGTGGTGATTATTGTGATTTATGGATGGAAATTGTTGATGTTGTTGTCCTCTGTGTGTGTGTGTGAGAGAGAGAGAGAGAGAGAGAGAGAGAGAGAGAGAGAGAGAGAGAGAGAGAGAGAGAGAGAGAGGACATATGTGTATTTATGTTTATTTCTTTTTTTACATACAAGCATAACGACCATTGCGTATCCGGCAGGAGTGAGGGAAGGAGGAAGAGGGGAGGGAGGAGACGGAGGAAGGTAGGGAGGGCGAGGGGGAGGGACCGAGGTAGGGAGGGAGGGAGAGAGGGAGGGAGGGAGGAAGGTAGGGAGGAAGAGGGAGGGAGGGAGACGGAGGTAGGGAGGGAGGGAGGCATGAGGTATCCTGTAGGGCGGCGGGAGCTGGGAAGAATGCAGCAGACTTCGTAATAATGAAACAGGACGCACAAGTTATATAGTAATGACGTCAGATAGTAGCAACACCGGCCAACACCTGTACTTATGACACCTGTACCTAACACCTGTCAACAACTATACTTATAACACCTGCACCTAACACCTGTCAACAATTATACTTATAACACCTGTCAACACCTGTACCTAACACACCTGTCAACACCTGTACTTATAACACCTGTAACTGTCAACACCAGCACCTAACACCTGTCAACACCTGTACCCATAACACCTGTCAACACCTGTACTTAATACCTGTCAACACCTGTACCTAACACCTGTCAACACCTGCATTACTCTGTTCTTGATGCAGATGAAATACAGTATTCCACCCTGGCAGGCTCCTCCGTGTACCCTGGCGTTCACGGTTACGCCAGACGCAGACTTGTGGTAAGGAAATACGTGAGTGTTTGACCAGTTCTCAGAGGTAATGGCGTCGTGACTCTGTGGTGCAGGAAATACACTTTATGACGACGTAGATGTTAGGTCTTGGAGTAATTTATAGATCACCTGAAGATTAACCCATCCAGCTTATTTCCTCTATTGATTGGAGCTACTTAACCTAATCTAATCCAATGCTAATCTAACCTAACCTTCCCCAATGCTAACCTAACCTAACCTAACCTAACCTAACCTAAACCAATGCTAGCCTAACCTAACCTATTCTAACCTAACCTAACCCAATGCTAGCCTAACCTAACCTATTCTAACCTAACCTAACTTAAACCAATGCTAGTCTAACTTAACCTAACCTAACCTAACCTAACTCCCAGGTAGCG